GCAAGGCAGGAGCTGGCCGTGCCTTGCAGCCTCACCCTGCTGGCTGAAGGTGGAGATGTCACCAAAGAAGGTGGAGAAGACACCCCAGGAGACGGAGAGGACACCCCAGAAGGTGAAGGTTCCACCCCAGAAGATGGGGATGTCACCCCAGAAGGTGAAGGTTCCACCCCAGGAGGTGGAGATGCCACCGTGCAGCAGCAGCTCAGACCCGCAGAGCAGCGCGGGCTGCTGAAATATCCATCTTCCTGCTGCCTCCTGCTCCAGCAGTCCCCTGGGAGCTCCCAGCCCTGTCGTTCTTCATCTCCCATCGCTGCCTCTCCACGTCGTGGTGCCCGGGGATGCTCCAGGAGGAGGAGAAGAGGAGGAGACCTCTGCAGGGGGGTGCCCAGCCTCCCAGGGGATCAGCAGGACAAGAACCCTGTCACCTCCTTCCCTCACCACCTCAAGGAAAGCACCTACTCTGCAGGAGCACCTCCACGCCCTGTGGGGGTGCCAGCCCCCCCAAAGCCCCCCACGCCGCAGGGGGGGCAGCGTGAGGCAGCCTGGCTGCGAAGGGCCAGCCTCGGCTCTCGCCTTGCGGTCGGGGTGTGAAACCAGCCCAGCCCAGCCGTCTGCTCGCTCCTAATTAGCATCGGGACCTACGTGAGGCAGCCGCCTCTGCTCCTTCTTGGGGGATTCTCGTTAGGGGCTGTGGGTTTGCAATTAGCCAGCATGCCCCCCTGCCACCCCCCCCCCCCCCCCCGCGGCAGGTCCCCTACCCATGGGCAGCCTGACAGCAGGCAGGAGCCCGGAGCCAAGCACCTTCTACAAATCACCCTGCATAGCTCGCATTCCTGGCCGGTTTATGAGCCTTTCAGCTCCTCGTATTGATCAGGGCTGGAGCCGGAGTAATTACGTTCAGCAGAAATCATTTCCCCTGATTTTGAGTCATATTTGAGCTGGTGCCCACCTCCTCCGCTCACCCCTCTCGAGGCAGGCAGCTCTCCGCTCGCTGGTACATACTTTCCGGGCGACATCGTTGCTTTTATAACCGTAGTGAGACCCAGAGGCTTGTTTTTCTCGACTGGATCCCACACACACACTCAAGGTTTCGGCCGTGCCTTTATTGCCTTGGCTGCGGATGCGGAGAAGAGGAGCTGGTTTTTGGGATGTGCATGCCTGGGAGATGGCTCCGGCATCGGGATGGGGCGTGGGGGAGAGCTGGGGGCCTGGGACCCCTCCACACACACAGGCAGTGTTGCTCTCAGACTTTTTAGTCTGGTGGGATGCTTGTTTAGGAGATGCAGAGCCAGCCCTGTGCTGGCTTCATTCCTTGGGTGCAGGGAGGAGGCAGGGCTCGCCCCCAAGGAGCGGCAGCATCTCCCCTTCCCGACTGGTTTTGGATAGCAACAATTTGGGCTGGTGGTGAACAAAGCAGGGGTGCAGGGTGGGTGGATGGGCAGCTCTCCCATCCTCCTCACAGTGCCCACGGTGAGCCCTGTCAAGGTGCCCAGTGCCAAAGCTGAAAGCCCTTCTGTGCGCTCCTCCACCCTCCATGGGTGCTGAGATGTGCACGGGGTGCTCGGCAGGTCCCTGCGGTGCCCGGCACCTCCTCTTCCTCAGCATGGGTGCAAGGCTCCTCTAGGTTCATGCTCCAGGTCTGCCAGGCCCTCAGCCCCTGCAGCCCGGTGCTGCAGGACGTGGGGAAGGGGTGGCTGCAGCAGGGCTGAGCACCTGGACAGCTTCTGGACAAGGAAACGGCCACAAAATCACAGCCACACCTCGTGCACCATCCCGCAGGGGCCTCGTGGAGTCCCGCACCCAGGGCCCGGAGGAAGCACAGACATCGCCCAGGCTCTCCCTCCAGCAGGCAGAGCTGGCTGCGGTTCGAAGGGGAGCTTGGTGAGACCCCAAGGCACCGCTGGCTCTGTGCACGCCTCTGCTTATAGCACTGATGGTGCTGCAGGAGACACGGCAGTTGCCTGAGAACACGCAGCACACCCCACCAGGACAAGAACCAGAGGAAAAATATGGCTTATTTTAGCCTGAAACCACAAGGAAAAACAGAGATAGCCGAAAAGCATGAGCAATTTGATTGGGAAACATGAGTTAGCCATGCAGCTCGATGGAAAATACCAAGGGTCTGTCAGGAACCACGCAAGGTCAGGGTCTGGGTTTTATATCTTGTCTGAAAGACAAAACTTGTAGTGAGATTTTAAAAGAAGCTTATGCTTGGTGATGCTTCGTACCAAAAATAAACTCTCCGAGGCCCACAATGTTTGATACGTGATGATTTCTGACAGTTTTCCAAATAATAATGGGAAGACTCATCGGGCTGAGGTTTCCAGACTTTGTTTTACAGAATTCTTATTCCGTGGGTTATCTGGATGTTTAACTTATGGGGACGATTACGAATTGCTTGTCTGGACTTCAGCAGAGAATCTCACAGAATTCTTGCCCAGGGTTTGATACGCCTGTTGAGAAAGAGCTTTCTCCTCTCACAGCAGTTGATGCATGGCTGGGCTGTGGTAGGGATAAGCCCTCTGTTTGAGTGATGAGCTTTTCCCATAGTTTTGGCTAAGGAAGCCATTTCTCAGCTGTGATAGTCCATTCACTCCCCCGGGCAATCTCTCAGCTCCTTCCTCTTGGCAACTGCAGGGTTTTGGTCACGAGCACAGAGACCCATTTATCACCTTCTTTTTAATGCAATCTCCTCCAAAGCACCCCAAAAACAAGCCAGGACCAGGCTCCCATCCAGCAGACCCTTTTGGGGTGGCAGAGGCCGCGGTTGGCAGCCTGCAGGGGTCGGCCGGTCCCAGCCGAAGCTGAGGTTTCTGCTGCCGTTGCCTGACCATCAGGAACTGGACGGCAGCCCTGAATTCTTTTCTCACAAGTCACTTGGCCGGTCACCAGATGGTAAATACTTTCAGTCTCTCCTAGCCCGGGCTCGGGGTGGAAGCAGTGACCTCAAGGTAAAGGATTGCCGGGCCCGTCCCTCGCCCCTCGCCGTGGCCAGTTGTCCCAGCCCGCTCCCACCCCGGTTAAGGTGCAGGAACCGGGGGGGATAAAACTGGCTGGATGGGATGGAAATGGCCATAACCAGCCCTCGGCTCTGCTCTTTGAAGCTGGAGCAGGATTCATTCTGGGTAGGAAACAACTTTACCATCCTGCCAAAAACATAGGTATTTCCAAGGTTCCCAAAGCCAGGCTATTTCCAGAAGTCTCATGAAAAAGAGCCAGCAGCTACCCCAAAGGGCTCAGCAGCCAGGGAAGACCTGGGGTGTCTCCTCTTCACTTTGGGGCTCCTGGCTCTCCTGAGTGTGATGTCTGCCCAGTTTGCCCACCAGTGCCACCTGCCCTCCTGCAACCACCCTGCTGCCCTGGCACGGGGATTGCGCCTCGGCTGCCAGGAGCAAGGAGAACGTCTTCTCCTCCAAGGTGTGGGGCTGCTCTTGCCCTACCTATGACAATTTCCCTGTTCATACAAAGAGGAGTAGACCCAGCAAGGAGCAGGACAGTCTCGGTGCCCAGCAGAGACCGACGTCCAGCCCTGCTCCAACTTCAACCAGCCCAGGGGACGCCCAGCACCTGGCACAGGGCAAAAGTGGGGAGACCCCGAAGCAAAAAGAAGCTACAGCTTGTTGCAGGTGGGTGCGATTCCAGATGAGCAGGGTGCACACTCAGTGCTATTCACAAGGGCACGTTAAATGGCACAGCCATGAAAAAAAAACACACCACAGCTGTCTAAAATGTAAATTCGCAGGGTGAGTTCCTTCATTCCTATAGAAACAGCAGAGTCTGCCAGCGGCTAACTCAAAGGAGATGTACTCAGATCCCTGTATCAACTATTTTCTTGCACAACTGACCACAAAAAAAAAAAAAAAAAAAAAAAAGAAGCTGACAATAATACCATGGAAACTGTGGAGCACAACATGTGGAATTAATTAGTAGCTATGAAATCACACACATGGTACAGGACACATATGGGGTACATGCTCTGGAGGGAGAAGGGTTGTGAGTGAGTATTTAGAAAGTGAGCTGTTAACGTGCGGCTTCATGAACCAGAACCTGTGCGAGGGCTCCTGTGCTGCCCCTTGCTGCCCACAGCCCCACACGGTGACCTGGGGACATGGGGACACCGTGAGCATGGGGACATGCAGGCAGAGCCCTGTGGGTACAAGACTTTCCTTCCCTTATCAGCACGTGATCCCAGTTTCTAACTGGAAAATGAAGCCATGCCCATTAATCTGGATTTGCAATAAACAAGCCCGGGATAATGAATTGAATTCCCTGTCCCCTGCAGCGAGGCTACATCAGGGCTCTGGCTCCTCTCGAGCCACTGCTGGTAGAGGCACCGCGGCTGCACCGCTCCCGGACACAGAGGGGTGAACAGCAGCACGGGCTGCCACAGCCTCATTAACAACCTGACAGCAGCTAACGAAGCAGAACCGGAGCAGAGAATCCCGGTGGTGACCGCAGAGCTGGCCCTGCAGCCTTCCTCCCCTGCCCTCCCCATGCTCGCATGCAGCAGCTCTGTGCCCGGGGGGCTGAGCTCAGGGACGGCTCTGCAGGAAACTGGGGACCTGTCACCTGCTTTGAAGTCCTCGTGGACTCGGTCACAGCTTTTTCAGGAGCTGAGTTTGGGTTTACAAGGCTTGAAATAAGCAGTGCCAGAGCTGCATGTCCCAGACTGGATTTTGTGTGGACAGCTACCCCAGACCATTCACAACCCTGAAGAACGGTGCTGGCTCTGTTTGGCAGCCAACACGTAGAGGCTTTGGCCATCTCCGTGGGCACCGTGCCCCCTCTGCCATGCCCACATCCCTGGGGACAGCGTCCCTTTCCTTCGCTTCGCTCTCCTGGCAGGCAGCACGCTCTCACCTTGAGGGGAGTGGAAATGTCAGCTGGAATGTGGGCTGGAAAAAAAAAAAAAAGAAAAGAAGCAAATCTTGAGGCTCGTCCAAACCTACTCCTGTTTATATTGGAGCCTGGGAGTGACATCAGAGCAGGGAGAGTATAAACACCAGCAGGACCCACTCAGGGCTTTAAAGCCCGCAAACACGCTGCTGCCTCTGGCTGCCCGGGGGGCGATGAGCCCAAGTGCCGCGGGGCGAGCAGCATGAGGCTCCGGCTGGAGAAACAGCTCCTCTTCCTCTCCCTGCTCTGCATCCTCTCCAAGGTAAGGGAGACGGGGCACCGGGTGGCTGTAGCCTCATCGGGGAAGCACCCGGCTCTCCCAAAAGGAGGCTCAGGCTCCGGTGCTGGCTCGAGCCCTAGCTCCCGCTGGCAGGCAGGCTGCCTTGCTGCAGCCTCGCAGAGGCAGAGCTGTGCTTGGGAGAGAGCTCAAATTAACCAGCGGGGTCTTAATGCTCGTGGGCCAAACGCCGCCGTGCTGCAGGCAGGAATGGCAGCGATGTGCTCTGCTCGCTCACCCCTTCTCTGTGGCTCTGTGCCAGCTCCCGCAGGCTCCTCGCTCTGTGCTGGCCGGGCAGCGAGCACCAGCCCCAGGGGTACCCAGCCGTCTGCTCATCCCAGGATGCTCACACGGAGCTGTTGGATGCCTCTGACAGGATTTGGGTTGTTCTATGATTTGTTTTTTCCCTCTTGTTTCTGCGTGGCATCGCTCCCTGTGCAGAGTTTTGAAAGGCGGGGGGCGGGGGGGGCGCGCAGCTCCAAATTCTTCTCATCGCTGCTTGAATCCCAAGTCAGACGTTGTGCAGGCAGGGACATCTCAGCAGCTTTGTGCCCATTTCACTGCTTTCCCAGGCACTTAAGATCTCTAATAGGAGCCACATTGTCATCTAATGACGAGTTAATTACAGGGAGCAAGGGGAAATGGATTAATGGAGTTGGCTTGGCTAATCTCTCTAAAATATTGTTCTGTAATAGAAACCTGAAAGATGAAAAATGCTCTTGGCTCCCTGGTAAGCTGTGACTGAGGAATGGCTCCTACCCCAGGAGTACTCGGTGAATTTCTGGAGCATCACCAGCAGCCTCTTGTCCCCAGCCCAAACCTTGCCATCACACCACAGCTGGTCCTTCAGTCCCTGCCCGGGTCTCACTGGCTTCTGCTGCTCATTGATAAAACTGGAACAGGGATTGCCCAGCCCTTCTTGGACATATTTTATCTCTAATTCCTGGCACTGGCACTTCTACAGGTCAATAAAAAACCATCTGGTGAGCTGAACTGCTGCAAGCAGGTGAGCAGACAGCACACCTGTACCCATCCCTAGCTGGTCATGCCAGGCTTGATGCTGGAGGGAGAAATTCTAAAAAAGAGAGGAAGATGGTTTGTAAAATCCACGTGCTCCAGCTGAATCCATCATCTCCCGGCAGGCCCAGCAGACACCCATGTCTGGCTCAGGACAGGGCTGGTTTGGGTTGCGCATTCGCTGAGCAGGTGCTGGAGGTGCCACGGGCATAGTGCTGCAGGAGGGGAGCACGGGGCTCACGTGCAGGCAGGGCTCACATCCATACCGGCATTGTCTGGGCCAGGATTGGAAAGAATTCACTTCCGAATTGCAGGTCCAAACCATTTGGCTTCAGGCCCAACATGCAACAGCCCCAGCAGCCGTCCCTGTCGGACACGAGACAAGCGCTGCCTGCAGAAGCTGTTTGTGCCGGGGTAATGGTGTGTGCAGCACAAACCACGGGCAGGAACACCTACCTGCCTGGGTCAGCCCCTGCGGGCACGGCCCTGGAAAACAGCCAGCAGGGCAGGCAAACAACCGTGGTGCACAGACCTGCCAAAGTCATCACTCCACGTAGCTGGGAGGAGAAATTTGGCTCCCATTCCCTGAAAGCCCATCTATGTGCTCCTCACCCAGAGAGCCGGGCAGAGGAGGCAGGTGGACCAGAAGGGACTGTATGAAGTTCAACAAGGCCAAGTGCCAGGTCCTGCACCTGGGGCGCAATAACCCCAAGCAGAGCTACAGGCTGGGAGATGAGTGGTTGGAGAGCTGCCAGGCAGAGAAGGACCTGGGAGTGATGGTGGACAGTCAGGCTGAATATGAGCCAGCAGTGTGCTCAGGTGGCCAAGAAGGCCAACTGGCATCCTGGCTTGTATCAGAAACAGCGTGACCAGCAGGGCTAGGGAGGTGATCGTCCCCCTGTACTCGGCTCTGGTGAGGCCGCACCTCGAGTACTGTGTTCAGTTTTGGGCCCCTCGCTACAAGAAGGACATCGAGGTGCTTGAGCAGGTCCAGAGAAGGGCGACGAAGCTGGTGAGGGGCCTGGAGAACAAGTCCTACTGAGGAGTGGCTGAGGGAGCTGGGCTTGTTCAGCCTGGAGAAAAGGAGGCTCAGGGGCGACCTTATCACTCTCTACAGATACCTTAAAGGAGGCTGTAGTGAGGTGGCGGTTGGTCTGTTCTCCCACGTGCCTGGTGACAGGACGAGGGGGAATGGGCTAAAGTTGCACCTGGGGAGTTTTAGGTTGGATCTTAGGAAGAACTTCTTTACCGAAAGGGTTGTTAGGCACTGGAACAGGCTGCCCAGGGAGGTGGTGGAGTCACCATCCCTGGAAGTCTTCAAAAGACGTTTAGATGTAGAGCTTAGGGATATGGTTTAGTGGGGACTGTTAGTGTTAGGTCAGAGGTTGGACTCGATGATCTTGAGGTCTCTTCCAACCTAGAAATTCTGTGATTCTGTGATTCTGAGCTTCATTTGGCTTCTGTTCCCCCACTGCAAACACGTTGCCCCATGGCTCGGCCCAAATGAGAGCTGTTAAGCCTCCATCATGCAAACGTGCCTTGTTCCCCCTGTTTTCCATGGGAGCTGCAGGTGCCCATCACGCCCTACGAGGACGGCACCATTCCAGGCTGCCTTGCCATATTCCTATGGATGTGTGGAGCCTCCCTCCACCAAAACCCTGCCCCCACCCCACCATGACCGACATTCAGAGCGGGTTCCCTGGCTGTCCTAGTGAAATAGCAGCCGTCAGCCAAGCAGCCAGCGATGGTTTTGTCCCCGCAGGTGTGCGCCCAGCTGTGCCGCCGGCCATGCTACTGCCCCTGGGTGCCTCCCCGCTGCCCCCGCGGCTCTCCCCTGGTCCTGGATGGCTGCGGCTGCTGCAAGGTGTGTGCACGGCGCCTGGGAGAGCCCTGCGACTTTCTCCACGTCTGTGACCGCAGCCAGGGGCTCGTCTGCGACTACAGCACGGGCACCGGAGCCACCTGCAACTGTGAGCACCACAGCGCCTGTGTCCCCCCCCCAGGAAGCCCTCAGGCTCCAGGCACCGTGCCCAGCGACCTGGACACATCCTCAAGAGCAGCTCTTTTGAGGATGATGCATGCAGATGGCCTTGGGGCTGTGCTGCTCCTCCAGCCAGTGGTTGCTCGATGGGTTTTGGGGGTGATCTGAACCAGGGTGGGCTCAGGGATGCTGCAGTACCAGTCGCCCTGCTGGGGCTGGAGGCTGAGGTGCTGCAGAGAAATTGCAGAGAAATTTTTTTAAGTCTGAAAACCCTGAGGGATATAGGCAGAGCCAGAGGGCAGCGGGTTTCTCACCAACTGGTGAGCTGCTGCTCTGAAAAAAAACACGTGAAGAGCTCAGCAGAGGGAGCAGGGAAGGGGAAGAGGGGTGATGCACACACTGCTGCAGGTGATCAGCAGCAAACCCGCACCCACCCTGCACCTCTGCCCCTCGCAACCCCTAGCCACCCTTTTTACCCCTCCGCCCTCCCCCCTTACCATCACCCTGTCCCTGACGGGCTCCGGGGCTGTCGTTGCAGTTGAAGATGTGGAGGAGGGCTGCGAGGTGAACGGCCGGGTCTATCGGGACGGGGAGGTTTTCCAGCCCAGCTGCAAGCTGCAGTGCCGCTGCCTGGACGGGGGCTTCACCTGCGTCCCGCTCTGCCAGGAGGACGTGCGCCTGCCCACCCCGGACTGCCCCCACCCGCGGCGCGTGGACATTCCGGGCAAGTGCTGCCCCGAGTGGGTCTGCGAGGCTGGAGAGCGGCTCCAGGATGCCAGGGCAGGTAAGAGGAGGACGTGGTGGTGAGGGCTTGGAGAGCACCAACAGGAGGCACCTCGCTGCACGTCTCCGCGCCGTGCAGGATCACGTTGCAGCACCCATCCTGGGCACGCAGCGTGGTGCTGGGCTCCAAGCTCTCTTTCTCCATCCTCTGTCTCCATCCAGCCCCCGCGGCAGCATCCCCGGCGGTGCCGTACCTGTGCCAGCCGTGGGGCACAGAGTGGAGCGCCTGCTCAGCCACCTGTGGCGTGGGCATCTCCACCCGTGTCTCCAACCAGAACCGTTTCTGCCGCCTGGAGACACAGAGGAGGCTCTGCATGGCCAGACCCTGCCCGGCCCTGCCAGTGGCACCCCCTGTGGTAAGCGAGGGCCTCGGGGCAGCCAGAACCTCGGGGAAACAGCCCTGACCAGGAACGGGGTGTTCCAGCCAGCACGAGTACCCGTGCACACCCCAGCCACAAGCCAAACCTATCCCTGGGCAAGACAAACCACCTGCTGGTGGTGGGTGCACGTGGGACGTACCCCAGCCACCCGGCAGCAGGAGCAGCCCTGAGTTTGGAGGCTCTGGATGTCTGAATCCGAGAGCATCGTGGGTCCCGTGTGGCTCTGCACCCTACAGCCGGGCTGGACCTGTCCCTGTGGCTTGCAGCTCCTGCCTGAGTACACTGGGGCTGAGCTCTTCCATCCCTTTCATTAGCCTGGCACGACCCTGGTGTAAACACACGGCACAATTGCCTCGATCACATGCAGCCAGCACTTTCCTGCTCCATGTGCCCCTGCTGCTGCATGTCCCAGCTCCCCAGACGCGGGGAGCACGTCACCACCCCTCCAGCACCCCATCGCTCTGCTCTGCCTTTCCAGAGGGGATGAGGAGGGCGTTTGTGGCCGTGCCCACCCTGGTTGCAGCCCGGAGCCAACGCCTCGCCCCGGCAAAGAGTCTGGCACAAGCCCATGGCACTGCGGTTTCGGCGGAGATGGAGGACTTGTCCCTGGGGAAACTGAGGAAGAACTGACAGATCTTGCCTACAAAGGAGGATGGAAATAGGGAACAGGATCCCTACGCCCACCACGTGCACCCTGTTGCCCCAGGCAGGGTTACTGGGCAGCATCCCCAAGTTTCTTCAGCTGCATGAAATGAGGAAACCTCATCCCAAGCATGAACCCACCTGAGAAGCAGGGACTTGGTCCTTTCTTGGGTCGGTGGGGCTTTGGAGAGGGCTGGGTGGTGCTGTTCCTGTGCTGAGCACCACACACACTGCTCTGCTCTGTGGGGGCTGGCAGAGGGAGACCCCCAACGGGACCCCCAGTGCCAGGGCTCGGGCTGTGGGGCTCAGCAACGCGCTCACCCATCCCACTGCCAGGCAGCCACCATGTGCATGGGTGTCAGCAGAGGCATCCCTGTGGCTGCTCGCATTCACCTTCCCCACATCCCTCCAGGATCAGCAGGACCCTTCCTGCCCCGCCTGCCTCCTCCTCCCCAAAGCCCCGGCGGTTTGGCAGGGCTTTGGCGAGCGAGGAGCTCAGACAGAGGAGGCACCGCTCCGTGGCACCAGACACCACCAAGCACCCAGGCACGTACCCCCAAAGCTGAGGGCCAAAGCAAAGGCAGGAGAAGGGAAAACAAATCGTGACAACAGGCCAGCGAGCTGCTGAGCAGCTCTGCGTTTGTTTTTCCCCAGCAATAAGCCTCGTGGGGGCCATGCAGAAACACAGCCCAAATGCCCTCTAATGGCCTCGTAGAAGCGAGCGGAGGCATCGCACGGCCCACGGCCAGGAAGCAGTGGTCTAGGCTGTGTGTCCAGGCGAGGGATGCACGATTTGGGTGTGTATCCATGGAATTAAAGCGTTGAAACCTCTGTGGCAGCGTGTCGGCCTGGATTAAATAGGTCCCTGGGCCAGCAGCAGGAAAAAACAGCAGGGCTGAGCAGCTGCTTGCCCGCTCCCCTGGTCCCTGAAGGTGCTGAAAATAAATGTCAATGACACTTTCAGCCACCACTTTGAGGAAAAAAAATAAGAAATAAAGAAAAACAAAATCTCACTGCTCACGCAGTAAAAGCAAAACCTTGTTTACAACAAGAATTATTTACCGTGATCATCTGGTGTGCTGCCCGAGTGCAGATCCTTAATTCAGTTTGCTGTCGGAACACGGCAAACCTCTGGCAGGCAGCAAACTGCAGAGTGAACCTGGCCCCAGCCACAGCTTTTCTGGGCCTTTTTTCTTTCTTTTTACTTCTGTGGTGGCTGTGCCACAAAAGCTGTGACATGAGGCTCACATAGACCTTAAAACCACAATGTTCCTCTGTTGACACTGAGAAAACACGTTCAGCGCACTGAAAATCCTGTTTTGAAGCCAGTTCTCATGGTGGGACGAGGCCACCAAGGTGATTTCCCAGCTCTCAGCCACCTCTGGATGACAACAAACACCAAAAAGGTCACTTTTTAAGTGGCAACCTGCAAATCCCACACAGCAATGACTCTACACACCTCTCTTTTTGTTTTATTTTGTTTTCCTGGCAGCAAAATGTCACTTCTCCCTGATTCACTCAGCAGAAAACACCTAAACAATGAGTTCACGAATCCAAATAAATCAGAGCTATTTCCCCCCAAGGAAAGAGGGAAATCGACTCTTGAGATTGGATTGTGAGGCTCACAATGTTTGCCGTTCCCCCTGAAGCCCTGCTGCCCTGGAAACGTGCCTTTGTGGGGTTTGTGCTCGTCATAGCCCCCCGACACCGTGATTTCTGGGCTTCGCCTGCCCTTCGGGGTGTGGATGCAGAGAGTTTATCCCACAGATAATTGTGGTCACCCCTAAAGCTCAACCCCAACCCCGAGGAGAACCCAGCTCCCCTCGCACGCCGCCGCCACATCCGTGCACGAGCGGTGGGTGATCCGGATGCGCCCGCGGTGAGCCATGCATCGCAGGTCGTTTCCTAGCAAGCACATGTAGCCTCCGAAAGAGAAACTGTGAACCACTGCATGAGTAAACACCACACAGAACTTTTTTTTTTTTTTCCGTCCAGCCCCATGAGCGGTGATTTTTAAACACGTGGAGATGGCTGTAAAAGGGCTGGTGAGCCTCTCGGTAAAACTAAGCACTTTTACATACCTCCCTGGGCACAAGGGTGCAGTGCTCAACAACAAAACAAGATTTTTTTTCGTATTTTTGGTATTGGTGCACCTCTAGTGTGAGTGACTTTCTGGATGGAGTGGTGTGCCAGGAGCACAGTCCCACAAATACCCCCCCCGCCATGGTCAGAAAAGCCACGTCCCCACGGGAACCTCTTTGCAGCTGCACACCCTGCGGATGCCTGCAGCCCTCAGACTTCACCCCACAGGCAAGCAATAACAAAGTATGGATCAAAACTGCTCAGAGGAGGATTTCTGTCTGTGTCTGGGGGAAGGATGTAAGATGGGCAGCAGCGGTAAGCTGTCACGGGGTGCTTAGGCTGTTTTGGGGTATGGGAGGACCCCCTTCACCCTGACGGGACGGGGCAGAGCCACAGCAGCGAGCTGCAGAGCTCTCCCACCGGGTGCAATTCAGGGCCACTCCCGTGCATGCATCCCTTCCTCCCGCCCCCTCCAGCACCACCAGAAATAGCTGGGGCCCTGGCGCCGGGCTCGAAATATATCCAGGGGCTGACAACAGGGCGCTGAGCAGGGGACGGCCTCGGCCATCCACCTCCGGGCTCTCTGCTCCCCGTGCCCCCGGCCAAAGGGCATCAGAAAGGGGAGGCGAGGACAGCCAGAGCCCCGGGCCGGATCCTGCTGCTGCTGCAAGCGCCGCCTCAGGCACTGCTGCTGTCAGCACCGCCCTGTTTCCTCCCCAGCCCCCGGCCAGCTGCTGCAGCACCCGATGGCGGCCCAGGCTCCGCTTTCGAGCAACTCCAACAGCACCCTGTGCCCCATCAACACCGCCTTCGCCCATCACTTCTTGCCCAGCGTCTACCTGGTGGTGATCCCGCTGGGGCTGGTGGGGAACGTGCTGGGGCTGTGGCACCTGCGGGCCTGCCCCCCGCGGACCCCTCAGCCTGCTGGTGGGCAACCTGGGCCTGGCCGACCTGCTGTACGTGGGCACGCTGCCCTTCCTCGTCGGCTACTACCTGCGGGGCAGGGCCTGGCCCTTCGGCAGGGCCTGGTGCCGGCTGACGCGGAGCCTCTTCCACCTCAACCTCTACGCCAGCATCGGCTTCCTCACCTGCATCAGCCTCCACCGCTACCTGGGCATCGTGCACCCGCTGCGGGCGCGGGGTAGGTGCCAGGAGCTCTTCTCCTCCGGGTGGCTCAGCGCCGCAGTCTGGGGGTGGGTGGTGGCGCAGGTGGCCCCCGACCTGGCCTTCAGCAAGATGAACCCCAATGGGACGCAGTGCCACGACACCACGGAGCAGGACAACCTGGGCAGTTACCTGGCGTACACCGCAGCCGTCACCGCCACCGGCTTCGTCGTGCCCTTCCTCATCATCATCGGCTGCTACTGCCACGTGGTGGTGGTGCTCTGCAGGAACGACACCATGGACCCCGGCCTCAGGAGAAGGAGCATCAGACTGGTGGTTCTCGTGATGGTGCTCTTCTCTGTCTGCTTCCTCCCCTACCACGTCTTCAGGAACCTCAACTTGCTGTCCCGGCGCTGGCAACAGCAAGGGTCCTGCACGCAGGCTTCAAGGGACATCTACGTCTCCTACCAGGTGACCAGGGGCCTGGCCAGCTTCAACAGTGCCCTCAACCCCCTGCTCTACGTAATGACCAGCAAGGACTGCACCTCACGTGTGAGAACCATCTACCGAAGGGCCAAGAAGTCCCTGGAGTCTGTCTTCACAAGGGAAAGCTCTCGCCAAGCGCTTGAGACGAGGACAAGCAACATCTCCGGTGAGCAGGAGGCTTCTGATGAGCTCTGAGGCACCCAGCACAACTCCTTCCCCAAAAGACGTGCTGCATTGGCTTGTGCTTGGCTCCTTCTTGGTATCAGCCCCTTGTCCCCACCACCACACCTGACCCTGGTGCCAGGGACAGACAGGACCACAGGCATCAGACACCGAAGCGGGGTCAGGTTTTAGAGCAAAGCTACCAAACCCAACCGCTTTGCCTACAACATGCCAGGAGATGGAACAAAATAGATGCTGCCTTCACCCCATTCCTGAAATATTTCTCAGCCCTGCCTCCAATGCAGCAGTCTGAGGGGGGTTAACAGCCCTTGGCTGCATTTTGGGCTTCTCGACGAGCGAGGGACGGGGACGAGCGATGCTTGGCCCCACAGCACCCTCAAGCTGCCAGACTTCTTTGGGGGACATGGACTGGAGGTGGGCTCCGGAGAGGGCAGTGGTAATCGGACTACTATTGCAGGGCTGCTGAGAGAGGAAGTGCTTTGGAAAAGGAAATATTCATAAAAATAACTCAGTTTAAACGTATGACTAAACCATGCCAGCTGCTGGGCTAGATGTTCTGGGCGATTGAGCTGCTTCAGGATCTGTTATCCTCCGCTGCCCACCTTCTTCACAGACAAAAAAAAAAAAAAAGTATTTCAGCATTACTCACTCTCTTCTGGAACACCTCATAGCAGGCGACAACAAATTGGCATTTAAAAGTTTCCGAAGTTTTTTTTTTTTTTTTTAAATCCTTATTGTTCTTTACAAGGCAAATGACAGCAGCAGCCCGAACCCGGGGCTCGGCAGGCAGCTCCCCGCAGAGCCCCGCAGGTGGGTGGCTGCAGCTCGCTCTCCCATCCAGCCCCACGAGGATGTTCAAAATTAGACGTGTCTGGTGCAAATTAGACGTGCAAATGCCATCTGAAGACAGGCTTGAAGACTTCTGGAGGTAAGGGTGGCTGGGGAGGGCAGGATGTGCACCAGTGCCTGGGGGGTGGCCGTGGGGCTCTGCTGCAGAGGCTCCTGAGCAGCTCTCCTGCTCTCCGTGTTCCCCACCACAAGCAGCTGGAATGTTTCAGTCCTTGTGAAATGGAGACTGCCTTCAGTCCTGCAAAGTGCTTTGCAGCAGCAGCTTTTGCACCCCTGCTGAAGGAGGGGGGCTGTGAGTTAGAAGCACCCTGTGCTGGGAAAGCACCAGCCCAGGGGCACTGCGTGTCGGAGCAAAGTCTTACCGGCAGCTGCTCACAGCCCCACCTCGCTGCTCTGCAGGAAGCCGTGGCTGGCCTTCAGGCAGAGCTAACACGCCTAATGTGCAAATAAACACTTCTTGCTTTCAGTCCTGAGTCGTCTGACTTCTGTTAGAGCCTTACAGGGGCACAGGAGCCAGCCGTCCTGAGGGCAGGAGCAGTGGGGAGCTCCCCAGGCTCTGCAGAGAGAGTGCCCAGGCAGCTGGCAGAGAGACCCCCAGAGCCTACTCTGGGTCTGCTGGGATCCAGCACAGCCCCAAAACTTCCATCTCCTGCCTCATCCTCAGGAAACCAAAAGGAAAAGTTTAGTTCTGGGGTGAGCTGATCTTTTGTCTCTGCAGCAGCTGTTTGGGGCATTAGGATCAAGGCTGCCCTCTGCTGCTTGTATGTCCCCAGCATCTGTGCTCCTCCAGAGCTCTGACCTTTTGCTCCTCTGATTCTTTTACTCCTTTCCACATCATCATTAAGGACATTAAGGATGATTTAAAGATCGGCATCCCAAGGCCCAGCTCCAAGCCCCAGGAACTGTTGCAGCCCCAACACACCTCATTTTTCTGTGTCCCACAGCTCTCAAACCACCAAAAGCCATTAAGGACCCACAGGCTGGGATGATGCCTCTGAGATTTTTGTAGTACCTTGCACTCTCCAGCCCTCAGCCAGCACTGCTCTCTACAAGCACAGCCGAGCTCCTGCCCTTTATTAGCTGCATGTAATTAAGCACAACCGCTGGCACATGAACCTGGCTCTCTCAGTTGGGTGATGGAGAGCAAAGCAACCGCTCTTCCTCCAGCCCTTGCTCCCTGGCAAGGATCAGCTGCTGTCCCACGGGGGACATCTCAGTGCCTGGGCACCTCTGGGCACCCTCTGGCCCCTCCGAGCCACCCGGTGTGGTGGCACTGTCCCTTAGGTGACCAACAAGGGGACAGGGACAGCAGGGAGCTGCTGTGTCCCTCCTTCTCCTTGTCCTCCCCCTGTCCTGGGGCGCTGGCAGTATTTTGGCAGGGCTGTGCCCCAGTGCTCATGTAGCAGAAGGGATCAGTGCCCCCGGAGCAGCCACAGCAGTGCCTGGGTTGGCACCCAGAGCTGTCCCCTCTGCTGCAGACAGCTGGCTGCCCAAAATCAGGCGAGAGGAATCCCACCCCCAGTGCCTGCCCTCCTGCCCAGCCCTGGCACAGCACAGCAGAGCAGTGAGCCACCAGAATCAGACTGACGGAGATTTTTAATCACTTTCCCCATGTCAGGCTCAACCAACAACCCAACATGGTGGGAATTCTGCTGGCATTAATGGGATCGAGATCAGGCCCAGAAATTTGGCAGCGTTTCTTCTTTCATTAAATAAACCTCTCTTACTCGAGGGTTTGTTGCAAGCACGGTTGAGATTTGTTATGTTAAAGACAATTCTGAGCCGACAGCCTGGGGAAGCCGTTCAGGCAAAATTAACAGGCACGGGCACAGAGGCACAGACGCACGAGCCCTTCATTTCCCTAGAATGCCAAACTGTCTGGCTTGGCATGCAGAACGCCGTGCAAGAACACATCCCTGCCATTGACAGCTAGATGCAGAGGACTCAGCTCCGTTTAAATCTTTATTTTTACTTTGCACAGATTTTTAGAAGGAGTCTGAAGCCTGAAAAGAGGATTTGCCCCCACTGGCGTTCACAGTGTGTGATGCATGGCTGAAATTAACGCTCCGGGGAGCTTGGTGCAGCTGGTACAACCTGAAAGAAGGTGGCTGGGGTGGGTGGGAAGAGGGATGGGGAGACCCAAAGCCCCATCACCTGGAGATGCAGCCCCAGGCCCAGCGCTCAGCTCTTCAGCACAACGGTCTCATTGTGCTTGAGGGGTGCAGACCCGGCGGGTTATCTCATGTACCGAGGGCATCCACTGCACTTGGAAAGGGACAGCAGCTGCAACTACTGCAGGTGTAACGGGAAATATGGTAAAATGGTAAATATGTGCGGGGCTGGGTGCTGCTGGTGGGTATTTCAGGAAAGGAGGAAATCTGAGTCTGTCTGTGCTGCAGTGCTTTGGCATCTGGGAGACCAACAGCTTGTAAGAAGAGCAAAGCGTATAAATAGAACAACATTTAGCATGCCTGTGTGAGGCCACCAGCCTGATATTACTCCTGCAGTGCCTGGGTTATAAATAGGTGCTGCGGGTGGGACCTGCGTGGGGCAGGAGCCCGGGAGGCGCTGACTTGCAGCTCGGCAGCAGCCGCAGCCGGAGCACGCATTTGTATGTGTGTTACAGAGCAGCTGCGGCTGCACCGGGCCTGGAGGGCTCCGTGAGCCCAGGCTCGGCAGGGATGAGCTGGTTTTTAGAGCATCCCTCTCAATATCCCTCCTCCGAGCCCCTTGCTGGCAGAGCCGGCAGCTCCAGCATCCCGCACCCAGCCCGCTCGCAGCCCCCAGCGCAGGGGTGTTGGTGCAGGGGGGATATGCAGGGGTCAGCGCCTTTTCCCCCTCCTGGCTGGCTCCTTTTCAGAGCTCCTCGTCCCTGGGCTTGCTGCCAGTGGCTCTGGGTAGTCCCCAGGGGAGCAAAGCCAGCAGCACAGCAGCACAGCACCGGCTGGGAGGTTTTATTTTGCTTTCCCATGGCACAGGGTGAGGACGGGAGGGTCACTGGTGGACCGAGCAGCAGGCTCAGTCTGTGAACGTCTGCTTCCCAAGCCAGAAACCCCAAATGCCCATGCCCTGGGTCTGTCACTGCTGGGAGGTGCCCTAGGGTAACCCAGGACAGCATCACCTCCCACCCCAGAGGCTCAAAGGAGACACCTGAAAGTTACCCAGCTGCTCCTCGTCCCAGGGGAACCTCAGGCTGCTTCTCCTGCTCCTCACAGGCGGTGTGCCCGGCTCCCCAAAAACCGGGGGCTCATTTGATTCCCTGTGGCTGACTCACGGGGCGCTGGTGCCTGGAGCAGCCGTGGCTCTGCTGCCGCTTGCTGTGCCCCAGGGACCCAGCTCAGCCTCTGAGCAGTGCCGGGAAGCAAGGGGCAGGGCTGGGGCAGGCACAGGGGACCCTTCGCATTCACAGTTCAGGGCAGATGTCTCTCATCTCCCCAATTAAGCCTTCCAGAGAGGAAGCAAACTGCATCCCAACACACCAGTGCCCGGCGCGTTCCAGCCGGTGTGGGGAAGGCAGCTCCGGGCCGCTCAGTCCCCGAGCTCTGATTTCAGACAGCAGCACAGGGAAGGGACCACTCGTGAATAATCAGCGCACTTTTCCCCGGTTACAGTGGGATATTTCCAATACTTGAATATTTGCGATGCGTTCCCAGAGCCTCTGCGCCCCGGCTCGCAGCGGGGAAGGTGTTTATATATAGCACCGTGACACTATGCATGGATCAGGCCCTGCTCTGCCTTCAGCCAAGGCTCTGACGTGGCCGTGGTCCTGCAGTGAGCCCGATGCTGTGGCTGCTTGTCCCCGGAGTCACCGTGCAGGCCACCGAGCTGGGCAGCCCTCACCGAGCCTCTGCCCCTTGTCCCAGGAGCAGCCTGGCTGCGCTGGGGCACTCATTCAAACTCGGGGCTGCTCTGCTCCAGCAGCCTCTCGGCAAGTATTTCCACTGGTTAGCAGGCAGGAACTTTATTATTTTATCTTGGTTTTATTACTGAAGCCGAGGTGCTCAAGGTAAATAAATGAACCAAGTGAAGTGGCCGAGATTAAAACCCCGCTGCAGCAGCGCAGCACCTCCCCGGCTGGGTGCCGGCCAGGCATTTATGGCAGGTACTTGGTGCCTGGCTGACGCTCAGCTGACAGCTTTCCAAGCACATAAAAAACTTATTAGGCTGAAAATAGAGTTTGTGGTCACAAACTGACAAGAGCACCGTCAACGTTTGTGGCCCAGCTGCGCTCCTTGCCCAGGCTCCAGCTGCGGTGGGGAGCAAGGGGCATGGGGCCGTGTGGGCGCTGCAGCACCAACTTCGGGCAGGCAGGGAAATGGGGCAGGAAATGGGGCAGGGCTCTGCCATGGCTGTGGGGTGCTGGGGCATCAGAAGGAGGCACAGCCGAGGTTTGGCAGGGCTGGGAGCAGGCAAGGAGGCTGAGGACAGCCACACGCGGGGCTGTGCCCACCTGCACGTACCCTGGGGTTTGCAACCCGCAAGCCTCATCTGTAGCAACCACACGGAGGCAATCTGCATTGGTGAGCGGTTTATATTTTCATTCTACACCCAGCACTTTATTAATTCACTGCCTGAGCTTCCAGATAGCACAGCAAAGTGCCTGCGGCCATCCAGGCTGCACAGAGTCAGGGGGGGAGGCAGCAGGGAGATCCCAGAGCCCAGGGAAAGCCAGGAGGATCCTGAGTGATGCTCAGGCACCCCGGCGTGCCAGGACTCCCACCCTCAGCTACGGCAGGGGCAAACCTCTGGAACCAAGCAGGGGGAGCCTCGAATAGCCCAGGGCATGGCCTGTAGGAGAGGCAGGCTAGTTCTGGCTAGCAGGAGGCTGTTGTGCAGGACGATCAATGCAGTCACAGGGCAGAAGTCTCTGTATCTGCAGAAGAGGGCATCGCCGGCACCTGGCGTGGAGAGGGGATTGCTGCCATGCCCAGCTCACCATGCCCGGCTAAAGGTGCCCAACTCACTGTGCCCAGCTCCCCGTCCCACACGCCTGGGACTGCTGGGCAGTCCCTGGAGCTCCAGCCTGCTGCAGCTGGTGTGGGCACTCGTATCTCAGTATCTAATCCTTTTTAGAAATGAACTAATCCATTGCTTTAAAAATATCCTGCGGCGTTGCGAGGCTATAATCTCAGTATTAAATGGCATTAAAGCCAGAAGAGCTGATGCTTTTACTAAGGCAGAAGAAAACATCTATTGGTTCTTTTCCAATAACCGAAGAAGAGGAGCGTGCCACGGTGCTCTCTGAGCCACTCGGCGACCTGCAGCACTCCACGGCTCAGCATGGGGAGGTGCCCCCTGCCTCCAGCCCTCGGTGACACCTAAGGGTGGCACGCAGTGAGGGCAGGCGGTGTGTCAGGGACCCCAAGATGCGAGCGAGGGGCACAGAGCAGCTGGGGCACGGCTGGCAGCGTGCACCCATCTCTATGTACATCAGACAGCAGCGAGGAGAGAGATTGCTGAGATGTGTCAGAATGCAAAGATACTGCAAGGTGTCATCTACAGCCACCTCCAGAAAGGAACGGGGAAGCAGCTGCCTGGAGAGAGTTATGGCCCCTTGTCCCTCAGCCATAGGAAGGAGCAGAAGGCAGGGACTCGGACCCAGCTTCAGCTTTGCCCTTATCTTTTAGCAAAGAGGAGCACGGGCATGGCAGGGCAGGGTGCTGTGTGCTGCCCAAACTCCTGCCCAGGTGTGGCGGGGGAAGCAGGAGCTCCGGGAGCCCCCCAGACAGCCTCCGCTGCCGGCCTGTGTTTAGCCTCTTTCCTCTGAGCCCGCTGAGCAGCTTTGCCTGTTTCAATCCATTAAAACTAGGAAAGCTTTTTAATAAATTCCTTTCCAGCCCCAAATTATTAGATGTGAGCCAATTAGACACATTAATTAGGCCCTGTTGAAGCACAGATGAGGTCTGGCTTTGTTTGCACTCAGGGCTGGCCGGACGAGGAGCGCCCGTCCCGCTCACAGGCTCTGAAAACAGCAGCACACCACGCAGCTGCTGCTCGATTTCCAGAGCTCTCACCTGCCCTCTGCCTCCCCGTGCAGTAAAAATGAGGCATTTAATCTCATAACGCAACTTCTCGCTGGAAATCGATGCTGAGGTACCTTATCCTGCCTGCTCTGGTCCTGCCGGTGCCACGTGAACCTTCCCAAGCACAGCAAAGGTGCCGGGAAGCCAAAGGTTGAACGGAGCGAGCTTCACAGGGGGGAAGCACGAAACAATTCCAACCTGGGTTTGGTGCTGGGGGTTCTTGTTGGGAGACTGACCCTGCCCTTGTTCCTTCTGAGCCGCTTTCATTGCACAGAGGCTGTGCACATGCTCACAGCAACCCCCCAAGGGAGAAACCAGTGATGTCCTTCCTTCAGCTGCTGCTAAAGGCATTGCACAGGCAGCTTGTGCCCATCTTCTCCTGTGGCTGGAGAGCGTCTCCCTGTGTTTTGCACGTTTGGACCTGCCCTGGCACGTTGCTGCAGCAGCTGCATGGAGCAGCTGGCTTTGGATAGCATCTTAATGCTCCAAGTACCTGGGGAACTCAGAACTGGAGCGGCAGGGCACTGGGGCCCCAGAATCACCCCTAAGAGAGTGATGTGGTCACTGCGAGATCTGTGTCCTTCTCCAGGAACCAGCAGGAGCACCGCTGTGCCCTTCCTGCAAGGTAGGATGTCACAGATCTCGTTGCTGACCAGTGGAAAGAATTACCAGCAGCACGAAGAGCGTCTCCTCTTGCCGGTGGCCTGACACTGCCCTAGGTTTGGAGACTCAACAGCATCCCAGGACCCATTGGCAGGGCTGCAAGCAAGGCCAAGGAGAACACAAACCAGGCACATTCGTCCAGCGGAGGCCTTGCCGTGTGATTTAGGGGCTGTGAGTGCTGCGGTGGCACACAGCAATCCTCCCACAGCTTGCGGGCACCAGCACCTGCAGTTTTTGTTTGGGAACAACTTTCACTGCTGGTGCAGGCACCGGGGTGCCGCGAGGAAGTGGGAAGGTGGCCAGGGTGGAAAGGAGCTCAGGGTTGCAGCAGGACAGGCGTCGTGTCCCTGGTGCTGGCTGTGGACAGGTCAGGGCTGGAGGGGCTGCAGGAGCAGCGAGGGGTGTCCCGCCCCGGGGGGCCATCAGCTGTCCCCACGGCACTTCTGCCTGATGTCCCCTTCCCCACCTCAAACTCCTCCACGCCAAGGCTGCCACAACCTCCCAGGTGATCCGTTCTGGTGTTTCCCTGTCTGCAGGGTTAGGAAGGTTTCACTGTGTCTGACTCAAACCTCCTTTGTGCAACTAAACCCCAAATCGTCCTGTCCTCTCCGGACTGGGGAGTGGGGTGGGTGCACCAGGAGGGGATGTAATCCTGCTCGCCTGCTTTGCCTATTCCAGATCAAGAGGAGGGGAGTTTGGTTCTTGAGGCAGACACCATCCAACCAGTGAAGTATCCTATTTTTAAAAAGGCAGCAGAAGGCTTACATAAAAGCTCGGGAAGCCAGAGACGACAAAGCGGGGCCTCTGCTTCGAGGGCTCCGGCTCCTCCCGCAGCCAATTCTGCTGGAGAGCTCGGGGGGGGGGTCCTGAGCACCCCCAGCACCACTGCGTGCCCCCAGCGCCCCCAGTACCCCCCGGCCGGGCACGGGGGCGCGCAGGGGGCACCTCGAGGTGCCGCTGGGGGCGCGCAAGGCGGCGGCGGGCGCGCAGGGGGCGCGCAGGGGGCGGTGCGCGGGTGCGGGCGCTGCGCGGGGGCGCGGCGGCGGGGCCCGGGGACGGGGAGGGGGGGACGGGGAAAGGGGGGGACCCACGGCGGGGCCATGCGGAGCCCGGGCTGAGCCATGAAGCGGCAGAACCTGCGCACGGCCGCGCTCATCCTCTGCATCTTCTCCTACCTGCTGGTGGGCGCCGCCGTCTTCGATGCGCTGGAGTCGGAGGCGGAGAGCGGCCGCAAGCGGCTGCTGGAGCAGAAGCGCGGGGAGCTGCGGAGGAAGTACCGCTTCTCCGCCGACGATTACCGGGAGCTGGAGCGCCTGGTGCTGCAGGCCGAGCCCCACCGAGCCGGCAGGCAGTGGAAGTTCGCCGGCTCCTTCTACTTCGCCATCACGGTCATCACCACCATCGGTGAGCGCCGGGGCGCGCGGTGCCCCCCTTCCATCCTGCCCCGCGTCCCCTCCGGGTCCTCCCCCTCCAGCCAGCCCCTGCTCCGGGTACCCCAGGTGGGGGGCTCTGCCTCGCTGGCACAGAGCGGGGGATCCCAGCCGGCCCCCCCGCCGTTGGGGAGGCGCAGCGGGGGGCAGGAGCCGCGGGGTGCGATGCGCCCCCGGTCCCGGGGCTGCAGAAGTTGGCTGGGTGCGAGGGTGGGAGCCACGCCGGGCCCCCGGAGGGTTGCAGGCAGAGAGGTGGGCTGGGGAGCCGGGCAGAAGGCTCTGGGTCCTCCAAACTCCAGCTGTGGGGCTGTGCAAGAGCTGCTCCGGGGAGCCCCAGCAGCTACACAGGTGTGGGCACCCACAGGGGGTGGGGATGGGGGTGGGTTGGGTTGGGTTGGGGGAATGATGGAGTTGCATGGAGCCCCCAGGTAGACACGCTTACTAGAGCCCAGATGTGGTTTGTCTGCTATCTCACGATGAAATGACAGTAAATTCAACGAGGACTGCCTTCACTCTGAGGTTAGCCACATAGGTGTTTCGCAGCATTTAATTAACCCGCTTCCATTAATCCACGCACCCCGGGCATCCCCCGAGGGCAGGCAGGTGTGGGACCCCCACTCGGGTCATTCCTCGGGCTGGGAACTCAACCAGCAGATGCTTTTTGGGGGCAGGAGCCCTGAGGCCAAATCCTGCCTTGCACAGCCAGCAGCTAACAGCAGGTCCTCATCTCAGCCTCGTGGAGGGGCCACACACATCGGGGAGCTGAACACGCTGCGTTTCGGGGCAAATGAGAAAATCCCCCTCACCCCACGACAGGTTATAGCTTCGTTAACATGATTCCTCTGTCGCCTGTGACAAACAATTGGGAAGCGTGTTACACGCCCCGTGCAATAAATAATTTCAGCCCAGGTGCCATATTTTAAAAGCCTGGCGTGTCAGCTCCCTCTCCATCGGGCTGCGCTCTGAATCTCAGCTTTAGCACCAACGTAGCTGTGTTTACTCTTTCTAATTCCTTTTATCATTTTGAAAGCATCAGTCATACGCTCTTTCAGGAGCCTCTCAGGGTACAACAGCTGTTTTTCCACTTACTGCTCTTCTGGATCATTGTATTCACCTCCTCATTGCTCTCGTTGTATTACCTGGTAGCCTAGGACCTGATAATTGCACTCAGTTATTAGGCTGGGATCTGACCGCCTTTTTTTTTTTTTTTTTCCTCCTTTACCACTGCAGTCGCATTTCTGCTCTGTATTCCGAGAGATGTGCCATGCAGGAATTAAGTTGGTCATTTGTGATTGCACGGGTTTGTGCACAGACCCGGCAATTACAGACCGGTCACTCCCTGCTGCCCCTGCATTTGCGGCTCAGAGCGTGGCCGAGGGTAACGCTGTCCTCTGCTCCCAGCCCTACCACCTGCAGGAGTTTCCTGGAGTGGGAGGTGCGCCGAGAGCCCAGGACAACGCGTTTGTCATCCTCTGCTCTTCCCATCACTGTGTGCTAGCTCTTCCCCTAAGAGCCCTGGAAATCCACTGGCAAAGGAGACAGAGGTGAAGCCAAGTCAGAGCTCTGAACAAAAGTAAAAAGAGCACATTTTCTCCCCATTTCTTCCAGCAAAAGTCCCTCAGGTACCTGGAAAAAAAGGAAAAAGAAATAAAAAAAAAAGAACAACCTCCCCCCTGCCACACACACAAATATCTGTTTGCCAAAGGCCAGGCAGCAGTGCAGGAAGGATCCCTCTTTGCGAGCTGCTCGCTGGTGCTGCTCTGCAGGCACCTTCAGAGGCGTCTCCAGCCCTGGTGGTTTCTCAGGGAAACCCAGCAGCAAGCTTTGGGCGCCTCCTCCGAGCCCCCCACGCGGCCGGGCTGCTCGCAGCACGTTGCTCACTCGTCCCTTTAGGTCAGGGGCTGTGGGGTTTGGTTCGGCTGGTTGAACAAAGCGAGGCGGGTGCAGGCGCAGCGGAGGTCGGGGGGATGGTGGTGAATAGCTCACTGCGGCTCATGGTGTCGCTGTGCCTGTCCTTGAGTCCTGCACTGAAACTTGGGAGATTTCCCCACAGCGGTGGGAAATTAAATCTGGGAGGGGCTCCCAGGGGAGCCCCCGCCAGGGCCTGACGCCTGCCTGTCCCCTTCCCTCCACAGGCTACGGGCACGCTGCCCCGGGCACGGACGCCGGCAAAGTTTTCTGCATGTTCTACGCCATCCTGGGCATCCCCCTGACCCTCGTCATGTTCCAGAGCCTGGGCGAGCGCATGAACACCCTCGTGCGGCTGCTGCTCAAGAAGGTGAAGAAGTGCCTGGGCATGAGGACAACCAACGTCTCCATGGAGAACATGGTCCTGGTGGGCTTTCTGTCCTGCATGGGCACGCTGTGCATCGGGGCGGCGGCCTTCTCGTACTTCGAGGGCTGGACCTTCTTCCACGCATACTATTACTGCTTCATAACCTTGACCACCATCGGCTTCGGCGACTTCGTGGCCCTGCAGAAGAACGAGGCGCTGCAAAAGAAGCCCCCGTACGTGGCCTTCAGCTTCATGTACATCCTGGTGGGCCTGACGGTCATCGGCGCCTTCCTCAACCTGGTGGTGCTGCGCTTCCTCACCATGAACTCGGAGGACGAGCGGCGGGACGCCGAGGAGAGGGCCTCACTGCGCAGGGCCCGCAACAACCTCCACCCGCCGCCCGGCGAGGCCGGCCGGAGCAGCAAGGCCATTTTCCTCCCGGCGGAGGAGCGGACGAGCCAGCTGAACCTGATCCCCCTGGTCCAGGAGGACGCGGAGAGGCGGCGGCGCTCGGCCAACTCCTCGGCCAAGGTGCCCTCCTTCTGCACCTGCCTGTGCTACCGAGCCCCGCTGTGCGGCAGCCCCGCGCCCTCCCACCCCGAGACGCTGAGCTGCCACACCAACCCCGTCTACTACAACTCCATCTCCTACAAAATCGACGAGGTGTCCCTGAGCACGCGGGGCCAGACCGGCTCCTCCCCGGCGAGCACGCTGTCGTCTGGCAGCCCCCGGTGCCGGCAGCGCCTGCGGCCGCGCAGGAAATCCATCTAGGACAGCACTCGGGCCCTGCTTTGGCAGACGATTAACTGAGGCCTCAGGTCCCTCCTGGCGCCCTCGTTTCTCCTCTCCCCTCCCAGCTGGCAGCCCGCAGCCCAGGAGATAAAGGATCCTTCCCCTGGCAGGGGAGCGGGCAGGGAATCGCACACTCTCGGCTTTCTTTGCTCTTCCCTCCCAGGTGGGCTCGAGTGTTTGGGTCTGGCAAGAGCCCCGTGATGTTAAACCAGCGGGCTGTAGGTTTGCTTTCCCGCCTCACTGCTCCCAAAATTAAGTTATTACTGCCCTCCTCCTCCTCCTCTTCCGCCCCCCTGCCCAGCATCACAGGCTGCGTTAGGCTCGCTGCGAGCCTGCGGATGAAGCCTTTGTGGGTGAGCCCTGCAGGGCCGGGGGTCTCCTGCAAGCTGCCCCCAGCCCTGGGTGCAGGCGAGGCGGTGCCACACAGCAGGATCATGGCTGGGATGGCACCAGGGGTGGGCTGCAGCCCTCCCTCTAGCTCAGCACATGGGGACAGCTGGCTCTGGGTGGCTGGAGACCCTCAAGCTGAGCCCCACGCGCTCTCTTGCTTCCCCACCCGCTGCCAGGGGTCCTGTAGGCTCAGCCGGGGGGCAGCGTCCCGCTTGCAGGGATGGGTTGGGCAGGAGGGACTGCAGGCTGTGGGAAGGGCTCGGCCCCAGGGAGCACCTCCCCAGACCACCCGCAAAGGGTTTGGCCCTAATTAGATCGTTAGCAAAATTCCCTAATGGGGAAGCTGCTTCCAGCTGGTGCCTCCATGCCCTGTGCCCACCCTGCCTCACCTGCAGGAGCAGGACAGGGCTCTGGCAGCAGGAGCAGCTCCATCTCATTTTTTCCTCCCAATAAAGAGACATTTTCACTTTTAGTTCTACCTGAACCCCCCTCTGATGTGGTTTTCTCTCCATTTTTCTGCTGGTGGGGAAGGCATGCAGGGTGCCAGCACTGGGGAGGCTCCAGGGCAGGCTTTGCTCTCTCCTCCTTTTGTTCTGGGAAGTTTAATAAAAGGTGAATCCAGCTGGTGGTGGTCGGGTATTTGTCATGAGCGGGACCAGGTGTGCCCGAGCCCAGTGCCTGGCTCCCTGTGCCCCACATTTATGTGCAGGGACATCCCTGGGGATGTGTGTGGGGGTATTTGGGCACCCAAGGGAGCTGGGGGCTGCGTGGCTGTCCCAGGCTGGGGCTCCTCACCCACCGTGGGGTGGTGGCTTTGCTCCTGCACAGGGACACCCCAGACTCCTCCACCCCCACATTCACATTCCCAACCCTTCCTAGTGCTCGGGCTCCCCTGCGATCACCCAAAGCTGCGTGGGCTGCTGATGTTTGGGACGTTCTTGTTCCTGGCTCTGAACGGCTCGGCTCGGAGCTCTGCAGCAGGAGCCCCAAGCAGGCAACACCAGGACGGGCAGAGCGCCGCCAGCCCGAGCGGCTGGCAGGAGAGCAGGGAGTGAAACACCCGGTGACAGCCAGCCCTGCTGGAGCTGGATGCAGGAGAGAAAACACAACGCAGAGGCTGAGCCAGGCTCTCCCTCTCCCCAGGGATCAGGGCAGACCCGTGTGCTCAGCAGCTCTGTGCCCGTGAGCTGCAGAACCCACTGCAGGACGACGCGAAGGGAAAGGGGCTTGTGGTGTGACATTTGCACCGTGGAGCTCGTCTCGTGCCGTGCACGGAGATGGTGACGAGCTGGGAGCACAGAAGGCAGGGCTCCTGCTCGCTTTAATCGCTGCCTCCACGCAGCCTGAGCTGCCAGGCTGTGCTGGGAAGGTCACCCGTTGCTTAGTGACTGCCTGAGCCCATCCTGCTTTTGGAAGCTGGAGATGGTCTGAGGGTGGGAGATGCCATTCAAACTCCCCTGCGCCAGGCTGGAGGAATCTTCCTCCTCCGCCTCCTCCTCCTCCTTGTCCTCAGGGCAGGCAGGGCCCCGTGGCTGCAGCAGGAGGGTGGCTGGGAGCTGCCCTGCCCCTAAATCCTGCCCCTGCTGACCCGCAGAGGGATGTGAAGGCATGAGAAAACCTTTAGGAAATTCTCAGGAAACTGGGGCTCTGCAATGCTTCATAGTTCCCATGGGAAAAGGGTTTGTGCTGGTCCCCTGGGGTGCCCCGTGTGCCCAAGCAGTGCCCCCAGGCCCTCCCCTCCCGCAGGCTCACAGCTTGGGCTCCCCTGGACCCGGTGGCACCTGCATTTCCCTGGGGGTCCCCAGGCTCCCCTGATCCCACATCGCTCACAAAGCTGCCATTTGGGGTTAGAGACAATCCCGGTGGCAGCCGAGTGCAGAGACACTCCATGAAACACCTCCGACACACCGCAGGAAAAAAAAAAAAGGTTTTTTATTGTCACCATTATCAACGTTTTCATTAGCTTAACACTGAATTGTAAATCACTCGATCGTTACATATTGTCTGAATAAAACCTACAGACAGGAAAAAAGTACAGCAGAACCCTCTCTGGCCACAGGCACGGCACGCCGCGCTTCGGGCACCGCGCCCAACGCTTCCACCCAAGGCAGCCCACGCACCTCGCAAAACACCGGGCACGGGGGGCAAGCAGGCTGCCTGGCTCCATCGCCTGTGTTCCTCCAGCCCCGCAAGGTTAGATCTCAGCAGACAGCGTTAAAAACCTCCGAAAGGTTTTGGAGCGGGTTACAGAGCCCCCAGAGAGCGGGATCAGCCACCCCTGCTCCTACAGAAAGGCGAAAGGAACGGGCAGCAACCGCTCAGCGCCCCGGAAGCGATGGGTTTGGGGAGCAGCTCACAAAGCACAAAGGTTGGGCCCCAGGGGAGCAGCCCCGGCCCCGAGCAGAGGCCAGCTCTGCAGCAGTGCCCCGGGCTCCCCGCGGGACGGCCGGCTCAGCATGGGAGATGCTGCGGGCAGCCTCGTCCCCACGGGCTGCAGTAAGGCCTCGGGTGGAGAGGGACGGGGAGCATCTGGGGGGCAGCACAAAGCAGAGGCTCCTGCCTGTCCCTGCTGTCTCCTGGCTGCCTGCATGGTATGTGTTTGACCCCCAGCTCCACCCAAGCATGGCACGGAAGGACCCCCCCGGTCTGAAATGCCGCAAAAAAGAGCCAGGACACGGATCCCAGGCGGGTGGCAGGCCATGGCAGTGCTGTGTCAGGGGTCTCGGGGGGAGGCGCTGCGCCCCCAGCACGTCCTTCCCACCTGAAGCAGGGAGGCAAGCCCAGCGCAGTGAGGCTGAGGGAATGCACCGTGGATTCGCTCTTCCTGGCTCCAAAGAAAGCCCAGAGCAGCTCCAGGTCCAGGGGATGAAATCACAAAGCAGAGACCAGAGAGCGGCGCTGGGGAAGGAACCACAGCCCCAGAAAAACCTGCTGCAAGATTGAACAACCCAGGCTGTGTTTAGGGGGACCTGGAGCCCTCAGGGGGCAGCCACCAGAGCTTGTGGTGCCCAGGTAACTTAAAATCAAGCCACTGGAAAAGCACGTGGGCTTCTGCAGCAGATGTGCTCCGATTCCTCCCTCTTCTGCCCATGTCCCAGCAAGCAGAGCTCGCTGCTGCCCCTGGGCTGCGTCCTTCCTGCAAGGCAAAGCCCCCTCCTTCCTGAGCCAGGGGTCTCAAGCCCAAGCGAGGTGCCCAGCGTGCTGCATATATGCAAAGGCTGCCTTTACGCTGGCCCAGCAGAGCGGGGTTTAACACCAGGACTTTGGTTGTCATTTTAGCTTCTGGGAAGTCACGAAGGGAAAAGCGTTCGGTCTCAGCCTCTTTTTGCTGGTGCTCTGTAGAGGGCTGGTGCTGGCTCCCTCTCAGCTTCAGCTGCTAAAGTGCAAAGGACCAAATGCTACACAAGGACCTGACCCCTGTTCCTCTGCCCCACCGAGGATGGGAGCCACTGCCGAAGGGAAGGGAGGGCAGAGGGCTGCTGGCACCGCTGGAGGTGCCTGGCAGAGCCCGGTGCTGCTGCATGGTGAGCAGTGGGGGCTTGGCATGGACTCGGGGCTGCCTGGTCATGGAGAGAAGTCTGGCAACGTGAGTTTAAGACTCAAAAGCCACATTTAGAGAATACCGAACCGCTGACAAATTCCCAGGGGAACTACCACATTCCCTGACTTGTGCTGGGATGCGCTTGGCAGCCAGGCAGCCCCCAGACCCAGGCAGGGCGCAGCAGTGCTGAGCGCAGCTCAGGGGCTCTGCCATGCAGGGGTCACAAGAACCCCGCAGGGCAGGGGCAGTTTGGCTGCACACACATGAGGACACCACTAGAACATGCTTTGGGTGTTCACTGCGGTACACGTGGAAAGGATTTCAAAGATCGTCCTCTTTTCTAAATGTTTGGCCCAAATTGGGGAGCTGCAATTTGGCGTTAGGTGCTTGCCCCAGGTCTCCGTGCGTCCCTCTGCATTACCAAAGGTGCTTTAAGGTCTGCTTGTTTTCCCGGGCTACTGCTGGCACTTTGCATTTACACAGCTCTTTTTGCTCTCCAAGCACTTCAAAAATGACTGGGAATTATTTCATCGCTTCTTGGGGCTTCCAGCATCACCGCTGTCTGCGTGGCTGGCCGCCTGGAGCACGAGGCGGGGATTTCTCCTACGGGAAACGCTGCGAGGAGCCCACAGGCAATGGACTGGGATGCTGGTTTGAAGCTCTGTTATTTTATGCACTCATCAATGATAGAGCTGCCTTAAAATCCAATATCCTGATCCTGCCACTTTGGAAAAATCTGTAGCCGAGCCCAGCGTTATCTGAAGACTGGCACAGAACAGCCTGCTCCCTTCTCACACGGCTGGGATACCCCCCGAGCCTCTGCGAAGGTGCAACCTTCCTCTGCCTTGGGTGGAATTTTCTCACGGAATGGACAAATACCATCTATGAAATGGACAAAACAACCCACGAAGCCTTTAAAGAAGAGCAGCTCAATCTGCTGCTCTGAAAAAAACTCCCGTTAGCTTGCCCCTGCCATCCCGAGGAAAACAGGCAGCTACTGGGCAGAGTTGTGTGGCCCCAGAGTGCAAAGGCTTTTTTTGCTTAATCAGGGCTACAGTGGCAGTGGGAACCATTCGTATTGAGTTACAAATACTAAGTAGCCTAAGAAAAACAGGGTGCTTGAAACAGTCATCGAGTTCATACGGAAAGGATTTGTTAACTCTGTAGTACGAAGTCACCTACAGCTGCTTCGTCCTTCACCTAGGAGAGATCTCACGTCGCTGGGCACACATACTCACAGCGAAGTCTACACGATGGGTATTTCTTACAAGGCAACAGCCCAATCTTCCTTTTTACAATCAAAGTTCATACGGATCTTTTTCAAAAGTGATGGAATTGAGATTGAAGACAATTATAAACTGTATCAACAATATGTACTACAGCCTGCAAGTCACAATCTGTGCACACCAAATGGAATAGATTATTGCTTGTTAGCCTATTAGACTTTCTTTATAAAAAGATTTTTATACAGAGTACAGGATTATGACAAAACTAGCTAAGTTGTTTTCATCTTGAAAATACAACATCAATTTTTTTTTTTTCAACAAAGGCTTGAATAGTAGCTGAGATTTAATGAACAGTGACAAATATTTACTAATAATTTAATGGTCAGTTTGAACAGAATTTCCTATAGGACTCTTTTCTGGTGTTTATTTACATATGCCTCTTTTCTTTTGGAAAAAAAAAAAAAAGTTGATAAAATATAACAAGGAACACAGAAATCAAAAGAATGAGTAAACTCCATACTGAGAACATTAAACAGTTTTGAAAACACTAAATTATGCTATCCGTTAAAAAACATACATCATTTGGTCTTTAAAGAAAAATATTTTTCCTGCTTTAAAATATTACTAACAGCATGTAATAAACTAACTTAAAATGAGTTTCATAAAAAAGTTGTCTTGCTGTCTAAACATTGCTAAACATGCTTAGGTTGAGATTCTGTTAACTGCCTCAACACCTTAAAAACAGCTCCTCTACAGGAACTTGTGATATTCTGACTCCAGAAGACCTGCAATTTAGAACAGTACATTGATAAAGGATCCAGTAGCTAGAAACATTAAATATATATCATCGTTCAAAGCAAAGAAATCTGCAATATTCGTTTAAACAACCCATGGCCAAGTGTTGGGGATGTGCTCGGCAGAACAGCGACGTCCCCCGGCCCCTATCCTGCCGTGGCCGTGCGGAGGCGGACGCCTGCACGGTGCAAAGGAGGCACAGCAGCCTGCCCCCGGGGCTTTGGCTGCAGGATGAGGACCCTTGGATTTAACTGCAGAATGAGGACCTCGTGTTGTCTCTGTGGCATCCCAGCTGTGTCGGGGCAAAGGGAAAGCGACACCAGGAGAACATCACACGTGCACCTGGACAAACCTGGGCTCACTGCGGTCACGGCTGCTGTCTGCTCAGACCACAAGGTGCAGGGAGGGACACTGGGGAGAGATCACTGCTCTCCGAGATGCTCTCAGCGTCAGGATTTCCTCGTTTTCCATAGTAACAGGAATGCAGGAAACATTTAGGGATCAGCTCTCCTTTTTTTTTTCTTTTCCTGCAAGCAACCTTCCCGTTACTATTGAGATGTAGTATTTTGTGCACGAGGATCAGGGAACCAACCTGAAGCTGGGCAGGTATTCATCTCTCCTCAGTCTCATCCCTCATCACCACTCACAGACCAAACGTATTATCACGTTTAATTATTTTTAGTTGGTTGGTTGGCTTTTTTAAGTCTCCCGCTCTCCCTCTCTCCCCCTCCCTGATTATAACTAACAGCTAGACTCAGACACAGGAGAAAAACTCAGTCAGGACTTCTAAAGGGGACCAAAGTTTAGTTTTCAGCTGCTCACCATCCTAGCAAGCTGCTACTTTTTACACAAGCGCACTGATAATCACAACTATCACATTACAACACCTTAGACAGAAACTGGCAAGTCAAATTTGAGGGGAAAAAAAAAGCTTCTGTTTTATGACAATAAGCTATCCCAAGCCTGAGACTTGCCTTGGATGCTACACTGGGGGGTCTTTAAACTGATGGATAACTAGAAGATCTTTATTTTTTTAAACCACAATATGACTTGGTCAGCTCAGGAATCGTGGGCATGAGTGAAGCAAGAATTTAGGCTGGGCAGTACTGTGCAACTTTACTGACCCCAAACTCTGCGCCCCACGGGCACTCTGAAAAGGGCTCCTGTGAGTCTGTCGGTTTACGAAGGGCTGTTGGTTTTGTTGAGTCTGTTTGGTTTATTTCTGGACTCGCCAGTTCACATGGCTGTGTTGTGCATGGCAGCCAGGGATTGTAACGTTCACTTACTGTGGAGAAACAGGACTTGGAAGTGACTCGAAACAAAAGTGAGAATCACTGGACGACGGTCAACCATGGAAAAAATGCAGAAGAAAACAGTCCAGAGCAGACTGCTAAAACTGCCTCCAAACTCAGAACCTGAGATGTTAATCAAAGTTACACAAGTGGAAGCATAACTTTGTTTTACCCTGACAGTGAACTTTCAGCATGATTAAAAACATACGGAAGATAGTCCTCGATGTGAAGTAGTCCTCTTTTAACAAAACCAATCGCCTTTGAGCTTGCAGAGCTTTTGGAGGGATGAGATACAGAGACACGTTACATTTGCCAGGCATAGAGGAACTGAGCTTTTCAATGGAGTCATTAAATAAAGTCATATTTTTTTTGGCATATATAGTCTCCTACTCCCCGTGAAAGACTGCAAAAATGTTGCATTCATCTCACTGGACCCAGGAAAAATGTGATTAACTAGCTGTTACTAGTAGGTAATGTCCAAACGATTGCCAACATGAAGTTTTCAGCATTCCTTAAGACAGAAGCCCTGTTACTCAGTTACCAGGTTTGGAATGTACCCGGAGCTCCCCACGGTCCTTTTAAAGACATAGTTATTAAAAGATCCAGTGCTACAAACCACTAAATCTACCTAATCTATTCTAGTTCATACACATATTGTACAATATTGCCTAGTACTCACTACATACCAAGAGGAAAGGATGCTGACTTAAATTACAGTAAATGTGCTTTTTCTTTTTAAAATAAGAGAGCCACGACATAGTTTGATCAGCATGCAACAAACTTTCTTCATCTAATATATAGAAATTGTCTAATACGATTAGAAAAAATAATTAGTGAGAGGCCAGAGACATATTTGATCAAGGAAATTAAGAGATTTATCTGAAATGCTGAGGCTTTTGCCACTTAAGACTCAAAAACCTATTAATTCTATGTCCCTTCTCCTCCTTCCCTCTCCTTTGTAATTATAGCATTTTTACAGACATTAAGGTAAGGCCTATTATTTTTGCATCTATCCTGCAGTTTATCTCAAAATAATTTAAAATGCCATAGACAAGCTTGGACCAAAAGCAACTGCTTTCACCATCCACTCTACACTCATGCTTTTATTCTAACAAAGCCAAGGTCCGCATGCAGAAATAAATGTTCAGTATTCCTCAACGACAGGCCAAGAATCTGCTCCCTCCTGAACACGACATGGGACCTTCACTATTAAATCACAGTCAAACATCTCCAAAAGCTCATTTGGAGACCACAGCCATCAAATCCTCATGAAGACTATGAGAAAATCTAGCCAGAAAGGGCCTTTTAACAGGAAATCGTTGGAGATTCTCCATTATTTTGGCTATTCCGTGTTTTCAAATAGAAGTGTTTACTTGTCTGAAGGATCTAGCATGCCTTACTCCAGCATGTGACTGCTGACAACAGCTGCTGTAGCTCAGCAGCTCAGAGAATGTGCGTTACTGGGTTCATCTATGAGACTCTTTTACAGCTAGCGTTGCACTTAAAATAACAGAATATACATGCTGTGACCACCAGGTCTCCAGACTCCTCACCCACTACTGCTCCATACTCTGGGGACAGCATCTCCTCTCTCAGGACACTTGCCAATGCCTGTGTATTACTGAGATTGCCTACAGCGACTTTCTTTCCTCAAGGAGGATCGTGTGCCCTCCAGCACCTTCTTGTCAGATGACAACCTGAGGTTTCTTTCTTCTCTACCCCCAGAAATCTCAACCTCCTCTCCCGTGGCAGAATAAAACAGTCCTGTTTCAGGTCAGGCAATAGCACAACAGGAAGGGCAGCATCTCCAGCAGATATGTACCAGCACAAAGGAGATGAAAGAAAAGCAGGAGAGAGAAGACATTGGGGCTGAAGGATGCACAGCAACGAGGGAGTCAGTATAAAACCTATCTCAAGCAGCAAGTCTGACGTTCAGCTCCCACTTCCAGTGCTTTTGTACTGAGCAAAATTGCAGTTAATTAGACTGCTAAACTCGAACTCTGTTCAAACTGTCTGGTCTAAGTAGGCGCTTATTCTCCCACCAAGTATGCTTCATCAGCAGTGGCAGACAAGTAACGCGGCAAAGACACTTGCTGGTAATTTGGCACAGTTTGAAAACACAGCAACGACAGCGTTACAGTTAACGTGACTCACTGACGTGGAATTGGTACTTAAGGGTTGCAGGTTTCTTTCTTTTTCTTTCTTGCAAGAAGAAAGATCTCAGAAAAAACAAATGCTTCCTCTCAAACTTTCTACTCCTGCTCTTTTTAGGTCAGAAATTGGCCTCTGAATTTTTCAGGTACTGTGAGAAAGAACCTAAGAAATTTGTAAGATGCACGGTTAAGCAAAATGCCTTCCTTACTCCCCCCATACTCTTTCAAATGCTGCAACTTTCCAGGGTTAATACTGATCTGAAACAAGGGTCCAAGAATGACAGCGAGAGAAGTGAAACAAGAGGTGTATGTCTAATTTGACAACTAGGACTCATGCCCCATGGCACCTCCTCCTCGGACGGAGAGGGTACAGCGCCCTCCCCCTCGTCTTCTGTCTAAGGTCACTGGTTTATCCTCCTCTTCCAGCTCCACGAGAACTGATTGAACATGCATTGCGCTTGAGGTCAGAGTTCCAGCAAACAAAACCTTGACAGCATGTTTAAAAAACAAAAGCAGTTCCCCCTTCCTTACTCACTAAGACCTGTCACAGCAGGGTCCCACTGTGCTCTCCAGGGAAAGCTGTGAGGACTGACGCAGGAGCGGGCCCGTAGTGGGATCTACCATCGAGGAGGTTGGGAAGAGCTTGTACCAGCCAATTGCTAAAGTCGACAAATCCAGTTCTTCCAGGAGGACCCTGGCGACTCCCATGAAGTGCTTGCGCTCCATGCGTCCGTAGTTCCCCCAGACTATCACCTGAGAAACAAGAGGGGGGAAGCACAATTAATCCTCAGACTTGGACACCTGCTTGGGAAGCAGCAATCTGATCAGAGGGATCAGAGGGATCTCTGTGCATTCTGTTTATCCAACCTCCTTGGGCTTTACTAGAGTCTGGGAAGAGCAGAAAGTTTTACATGGGAAGAACAGAAAGTTTTACCCTACAACAGGAATACACTGGTATATGCTATGCTGTTGGTGACGTGAAGCTTGGCTGATGGTTTTACCTTTGTTTTAAGCACAGCTTTACAAATCTGAACGTTACCAGACTTTTTTTTTTTTCTCCCCATGAAAAATAAAAAATAAATGAAAGCACGTGTGGATGAAACACTCTTCTTCTGCTCTAACTGCTGGACAAGGCAAGTGTGTGCACAAGGTGGGAAAAGGGAAGGAAGGGCTCCTGGTCTGGAAAAATAACCCAACAAAAACCGAGTAGGGCAATAACTTGGGCCAAGAGCCAACCATTTGAGGAAAAGTCTGTGTCCTAACATCCGCACTCAGGCCTCATGGTGTGTGGCAGATGGCCACGAGGCACGGTCACTCACCTGGAGAAAGGGCAGGAGCCGAGCGCTGGCAAGCGGGACTGGTGATGTAAGGGGCACACACGGGGCGGCATGCGGGGAGAGCAGAACAGGCTGCCGAGAACGGCTTGGAGACGCAGAGGAGGGTGTAATGAGAGAGCTGGCAGCCGAGCAGGGGAAGCTGAATCACACTTACGACACGATGGAGACCAGTGGGTGGCACAGATGTAGTGAGGGTCATGGGCTTAGGCATGCTGGAGGGCTGCGTGTGGCCGAGTGGCCCTACGTGGCTCAAGACAAAGGTGACGACTGACTCCAGAGCGAGTTCATGTTCTGAAGACGAGAGGATGAGGACGATGGGTTATGATGGTGACTAGGGATCTCTGGCTAATCCTGAGAGCTTCTTTCCCTAGGCTCCGAATAACCAGAATATTAGAGTTTTCTGTAAAACGAGGTAGGAGAGACATCAAACGTCAATGTTTATGTCAGCACGGGATGGAGCAAAACACTGCAGAAAGCTGGGCTGGTGGCACAGCAGCTGGCAGAGAGCCAGGCTCTTAATTTTATTCCCTTTTAATAAGTTCCAACGGGACAGTGCAAGGTGCAATGAGACATTGAAACCGGTCCTGAAACAGGCAGCCAAAACCACAAACGGAGCAGGGCACAGGACAGCAGAGCTGCAAAGAGGCAGGCACAGCTCCACCCCTCTTTGCAGCAGGGCTGCCCTCCGGCACCAGGGCTGCTGCCAAGGCGAGGACATGGCTAGGATACTGCTTGAGAGGCTCACAGAGGACCATATACTGACAGTTACTGCCTGCTTTTGGGTTTCTGCTGTGCCTCTGCCTGTAGGAAGGCAGTAGCCTTTCTGACTGAGTGGCAAAGCAGGGCGGAGGCATTTCTCACTGTCCTATTACAAAGGTCTATTGATAAAAGCAAGATCAAGGCAAAGACTCGTGAGAACCCTCTCAGCCATGGTTGTGTGGCAGAAGGTGAAATGGTGGCGTGGGAGACACAGCAGTGGATCACCCAGGGGACCATTTCCAGGAGCAGCTGGGCTCTGCCAGCTCACACCACCCCGAACTGACCTCCTTGGAGGCTATCTGGAAAATGCTGCTCGCATATCTGAAATGAAAACTGATTTATGCTTCATACTCAACTTCCCATCCTGGTTGAGGATAAAATCCGTAGTTCTTAACACCTTCAACCCCTTTCGTGAGCTAATTTTTAGGTACTTTAGGCTGCCTGCCTTGCTTCCACCTTCCGTGTGACAGGACTGTGGCTGTGACCCACAGAACTCGGGGTGAAGGCCCACACGGCAGCGAGGCTGCAGGTAAGGAAACCCAGACCAAGCCAGGCCCTACCGCATTTCAGTCAAAACCGTGTGCTCTGCCTGCAGCAGGGGAAAACGCTTCTGATTGAGGTAAACGAAGAAGAGTTCACTAAGGAGAAGGATCCAGTAGATTAGCTGGCAATTCATATGCCAGCAGAGGTAAGCAACAGAAACTCACAGGTTAATTGCATCAGTATTTCCAGTGGATTTTAGCCAGGGTTTGTTGGATGGGAATGGTTTAGGTACGAATTAACCAATGGCATTCACTCTTTGCCCTGGAAACATACGTACAGGATTGAAAACGTGAGTATGGCAGAGAATGTATGGCAGGAAAAGAACAGAGGTAGAAATAGGTAGGATATGTGACTGGGTGATGGCCCAAGCAGAGTGCTCTGAATGCAAATAAACACAGAAGAAACCTATGGTGCAAGGCTGTTCAGCCCCTATGGATACTGTCTATCTCCTAACTGGAAAACAAAACAAGAACCTTTTCCTGGGAAGCAAAGAAAGGGAACCTTTTCCTGGCAGGGTATCAAATAATAAACAGTCTGAGCAAGAAAAAAGGTTTTTCCTTTTGTTAAGTTCAGACAGAGCGCATGTAGTTCCATGAAAGCATTATTAGCTTTTTCTCATCTGTGTTATTTATCCAGATTCTTTGCCAGACTTAGTATATTCCAGCACAGGTGGGAGAGAAAGAGACAGACCTGAAACCCACTCCTCTTACCTGTAATACCTTGCCCTGAGGGCTCTCAGGGAACAGTAACACCTGATTGTACAAAGGGTCTAAAGATTTGCGGGCCACTTTTGTCTTCTTTTTCGCAATGCACACACCGTTCTCTAACAGGTAGGCTTTGATGTAAGCAGCTGAAAAAAAAACACAACACAAATATGGTCAAATATGAAAAAACCTTCATGCTCACTTTAGACAAGACAGAGTGCCACGTCTCTGTCTCTCTTATTCCCAAAGAAGGCATGTACAGCAGTGAAAAGCTTTGCCCAGCCAGCCTTATTTTCCATACGACAAAAATACTGCTTATTGCCACAGAAGCCAAGCAGAATACAAAATTTTCCTTTTCACAAGCATGACGGGAGGCTGAAGCTCAGTGAGCTGTTATAGGAGGTCGAAGCACACTACCTGGCAGTGTTTTGGAGCCGGGTTTTGGTGTCAGTCCTCGGGCCTGAATGATATCCACTTCTAGCTGCCCGTTTCGCTCTTGCAAGCCAATTTCCACATCCCCTAAACCAAAATGTCAGAACAGACAGAACACTTTCAAAACAATACGTTTGTGGGCTAATAAAATGTTAACAAACAATCTTTGTGTCATGCCCACTATGAGCTGTAAGGAACTGTAGGCCCTAAGTGCCTGATCTCCTCCTGCTTCACTCTGCAGAAGCTCTGCAGTGATTCAAACCCACATTTCCAAAAAGCAATCTCTAATTTCAGCCCTTTAACACGGCTTTGGTGACTCAGTCTCCTACTCCTCAGCGGCAGCTAGCCTCCATTCTCTCCCAAACTGGAACAGCCAGAGTTGCAGGCTGCTTGGGAAAATGCAATTATGGTATACGGTAAGAAAATCTGTACAGAGCCTGATGGGCCTTGGAGGGCAAACAGAAAGATGCACAGGACGCATTTTCAGGTTTTTAGCTGCGTTTTGCTTAGTCTGTGCCTTTCAGCTCTGGTGGAGGAAAGCATAAAGCTGGTGCTCCCCTGCTAACGCTGTACTAGCAGCAATCAGCAAAACCTCGCAGCCAAGCCTACTTGATTTAACGCAGAAACAGAGCGGAGGAGTGGCAGAGCAGCAGCTGCTGGACGCGTTATTAGGTGGCCGTAGGAGTGGTCTGTTCCAGATTCAATTTAAGCCACGTAAGATCTCTGTGTTCCTTACCCATCGAGGTGGTGGCCAAGGTCTGACGCCCAACAAATTGTGCAGGGCCCATGCTCCCCAGGAAGTCACTAAACTGCCCAGCAGATGCCAGATGGACTCCACTGAAATTCAAGCTGCAAAATAAATGGATTTTGGCAAGTGGTTAATTTGCATTTTAAAGCAACCCGGTAACTAAAGAGCCTGATTTAATATATCCTTGAAATGAATGGCATCTGCAGAAGCCTTTTCCCCTGCAAAGCTCAGTGATTTCAAAGGCAGTTTTGTTACATGGGATCCATTTAAAATCCTTTTCCTTGCGGAGGAAAAAAAAAAAAAAAAGGAAAAAAAGGAAAAGAAAGGCAATGATGGTTGCACCAGTCTGATACTTATCTCTAATGAATTGTCTACAAGGGCAAATCTCTGCCATCCCAGACCCACGTGCAGCCCGTCACCTCTCCCAGGGAGCATCGCCATCTGAGCAGCTCCTTGGCGTGGTAGCTCTCCTTTCCCAACCTCCAGTTTTGGGAAGGAATTAACACAGCTAGAGAGGTAGCCAGAGGGGAGCTTAGAGGTGCTGACATCCATCCCCTTGGGACGGAATCCCCCATTTCTCTCAGACACACACAGCAACTCACCTATTTCTTGACCAGAGCCCTATTTCCTATCACTCAACACCGGAGTCACGCCCTCTGGGTGGTTTTGACACCTGCTTCCACCACCAGCCCGTGGCACAGCCGCTGAAACACAGGTCAGGAGGTTTGTGGGGTTACCCCCGCTGCAGCGCCGGGTTTGCGTGCTGCCCCCCGGGGAAGGTGCCGCGCAGGGCAGCCACACAACGTGCAGCCCCCGGCACTTCTCCAAAGGCCCCTGGAGGGGGGCATTCCCCACGCAGTGACACAGCTCGCTGCTTTGGGAATTAATTCCTTCGAAATGAATGGGCAAGGAGGGCCACATGTTCCCTCCAGCTTACCCTGGTGATGAAGATGGGGAGAAGCCCTGCCTCCGGGGAGGGCTGTGCACTGCGGGCTCACAAAGATCCATTGAATCCCCCCTGCAAGCCAGTTACATTTAAAAGACATTCAAAAAAAAAATCAACCTTTTTTTAACCCCATTCACCCAGAAGAGCGGTAATTTCAGGTTGAGGTTTCAGCTCTCATTAGCTGCTCGCAGCCCCGGTCTCAGCCTGCTGGGATATTTATTTACTCCCCAGAGGAAGGCAGCGCACAAAGCTCAGCATCTGCCCTCCAGCTCCTTACGAGCCACCTTGTGCGGAAAGGAGGAGGGAGGAGGGCGCCTTGGCATCCTACAGACAGCCTTGGGATGGGCTCCGAGCGGGGACAGACTTCCCCGAAGCCTCCCTCGACTCAGTGCTTCTTCACCCTGCATCCACGGCGTGCACCAACACCCCAGGAGGTACTCTGAGACACGACAGAAGCAGCAGGAGGTATAATTGGCACTAATTGCGGAGAATATTTAAGCCTGTTCTCAGTGTCACCAACTCCTTGCAGGCACAGGGTGCGTCCCCAGTGCCACCGTCCGTCCTGCAGGGACCCCATGGGTTCAGGGTCCCTGTCCCACTGCCCAGCTCTCCCCATCCCCAACGGGGCAGCCCCCAGGAGCAGCACCCCGAGCACAAGGCACAGAACAGAGATCCTGGACCTGTCATGCACTGGGGACAGATGTGTGCACACGCAGGGCTGCTGAATCTGCAGGGACAGGGAAACACGACGGGGAAAACAGGGGAAGGGGGAGCGGGCAGGCTGTGTAAGGCCGGTTATTTGCCCATACAAGGAGGGAACGAGGGAGCTCTGCCGTTCACGGGAGACCAGCGAGACTCCTTGAGCACAGTGAGCCGTCCACAGAGGGTCAAAAAAGGATGAAAAGTTGCTCTTGGAGAACCTAAAATAGTTCGAAAAACAGGAGATCCGACAGAGAAAGACATGATTCAGCAGGGGATGAAGGGACTCTCAGCCAGAAGGTAAATGTTTTCTTTATTCTCTTCAACTCGTGGAAGATAAATGGGCACAACTTCGGTCTCGCTCCTACCCCAGGGAGTACGTGACCTGAACGAGCGCGTAAATAACCAGCCGGTGAGACACCTCGCTCAGGGAAACGCTCACCGCCGTGCTCGGAGCAGATGCTCAGTCTCATTAACAAGACTGCCCAGGGTTAGGGTAACAAAGGAGTCCAGCAGCAAAGCCTGGAGCTGCAGGAAGCCTAAAGCAATCTCAGAGTCGGGGCTCTGTGAGTTCCCCATCCCAAGGGCAAGGGCTGCGAGGCAAACCTTGGCCAGTGACCGTGGTGGGGACACAGCTGGGAGAAGCCCACCCGCAGGAAACCCCACTTACTGCTCACTGCAGGACAGCAAGGAGAAGCCTTTCTGCCCCCCGAGGACTCCAAATACTTCACCAAGTGCGCCCCATGTGGGGCACAGATTCACACTGAAGGCTGATGCCAGTATTTGGCAGGATGGCACAGGGTCCTGCACACCGGCACACCCCTCCAAACCACCAAATTAGAGCACCTCTTAATGGGGCAGCAGATGCTGCAGCTCCACCAACCATGTTCCAGCACCGAGGAAAACAGCAGGAGCACGAGAAAAGCGAGGTTAAAAAAATACAAAGCACCAGAGAGAACAAGAGCTGCTGGGCTGGAGGTGAGCAACGGCGACTGGAAGAGCTCGCAGCAAGACCAACGTCGCTGTTATCTCTGCTCAGACTCAGAAGTCGGAGGGTTGGGGACTACCTCGAAATGATGCGCACTTGTCAGAGCCACTTGGAGCTACCCGGACACCAGGGCCATGCTGCAGGCACACGGCCTGGCTGCCCACCGCCACTGGTGAGGAGCAGCCGGGAGAAGCAAAGCTCCTGTGCTGCTTCCTAACGTGAGGCTGATCTTCAGAGGGATGGCAACAGCCCCTTTCAAACCCCGGGCCAAGGCAAGGACTCGAGCAGTCTGGCTACCAGCCTCAGTCAGGGGGTTTACCAGCACTCAGTATTGCATTAGACAATTAACATTCCCTCAATTTGTTACGTTTGGCTGGGGAAGGAAGATACAGGGAATTAATTCTTGAACAGATCATGCCATTAGCTGGTGGGACTGCCAGTTACGTTGCACAGAGGCTGGGCTTTTGCAGCCCTGCTTTAATAGGCATCAGAAACACCAGCTCTGCATCAGGCTGCTGGGCTCTTAGTGATTCTTGGACATCTCTTCGGGTATGGCCAATAAACCTGGAATGGAAACAATTTCTGTCTGGAAAAATCATAAGCCATCTCCAAGAAAGCTCTTGCTTCTCCCTGGAGAGGAGAGGGGGGAGAGGAAAACACAACTGCAGACATTTAGCATGCATGGGAAGAGAAAACAGCAGGAACCACTGAGCTGCACCGGCTAAATTTAGGGTGCTCAAACCCCGCTCGCTGAGCTCCGTGCACCAAGTGCTCAGCGAGGAGCTGGAGTGAGCAAGTGAGGGGGGCTGAGGACGGTGTGGGCTGGAGTCTGTGGGACAGACCCTCCCCATACATTCAGCTGCTGTTTCTACAGCTGAAGCAGGGGGGAAGAGAGCTCCTCCAGCGCGGCCCTGGATAGCGCTTGGGCACCCACCCAGTCTGTCCCAGCCCCGACCGCTTCCCCTGCTCGCTGCTGGGGTGGACACGGTGCCCCCTCAGCATCCCCGGGACACGACCATCACCCACCTTGCACGAGGAGCTTCTGGCCCCAACAGGCCTTTCACATTTCTGTTCCACCACCCAGAAGAGAGAGCACAGGACTCTTTTGGTCCCATCACTTAAAGCACGCCCCGGCACACCGCACCCTTCCTTCTCCCGAAACGCTCCACCTTACGGGCAGAAAATGCTACTGTAACCTGGTTATCACCGATAAAGGATGTCTTTTCTATTTCAGTGTAAAGAGAAGTGCTAAAAATAGCTTGCAGGAATAAAGAGGGAGCATTTTGCAGCTGACTTGCAAATAGCAACTGTCATAGCACGGCCCTGGGGAGTGGGGCTGCTGCTACAGGAGCCGAACAGCAGCGCACCAAGAAGGATGAACAGGTGACACGTGTCAGCCTGCTGGGGAAGGGCACAAATCCTCCACCCAGAGAGCACAGCCCAGCCTTTTGGGCAGGAAAGAAACTAATTGTCTCTTCTTTGGCCCCCTGCTTTCGCTAGCCATGATTCATGGGCTCTGCTCTGCCCCAGCTGAATGAGGATGGTTTTAATGAAGTTAAAGATTAGCGGGTTTGCGGTGGGATTGCTTTTAAGTAAATGCGATTCTGTTACTGACCTGAAGGCACAGGGAGGAAAAGGACACCTCCAGGCTGTCAAGGACAAGCACAGGACCAGGTGCTCGAGCACCTGCAGGAGGTGAGGAGGCAAACCGGAGGCAGCAGCATAACAGAGCTCAGGATGTGGTTGATCCTGGGGTCTCTGAGCCAACCAATGCTGTCTCTGCTGAGCAGCATCAGCAAAAAAAATGCAGTAACGTTAATTTTGTTTGCACAGGTATCAGCTGCGCCCCCAAGGCTCAGAACCAGCTGCAAAACCCAATTCAGATGGATGGATAAGAGCCATTTGCAAAGACCAAGCCAGGAACATGAGCCAGCTACTGTGGGTGCCTCCACGCCACGCTGACGGCGTCACAGCACCTGCAGCACGGACACACCTCGGGACCGCAGGGGACAATCGCTGTCCTTGCAGTCGCTGGGACACCCACGAGAGGGAGACAAGATCCCACAGCACCGCCTGCAAGGCTCCAGCTGGAAGGCAGAGCTGGGAGCCCAGCCCTGCCCGCTCCAGGCAGCCGCAAGCAGAGCCCACCTGCAGCCCCTGCCAAACGCACGCCCAGCTCTCATTCCCGACCTCATGAAAAAGGTGACTGCATGAAGAGTTTGTCTCTTTTGCGACACGTGTATGTGTAAAACAAAATTGTGTGTTCACAGAATATTAAGAATTGTGTATTCAGGCTGGAGCTGAAATTGCCTAGCTGTTTTTTTTTCTGCGCATTTTTACCAGCAGTGAGAATTCCCATTATTCAGGAAATCTGCACAGCAGCCTCTGAAGACTGCACTCCTGTGATGCACGCTGCAGGTCGGGGCACATGAAATCTGTCCTCTTCAGTGTAATTGAGGAGTGGCTGAAGGGCTCTTTGCCAGCTGCTTGCTCCTCTGCTCCTCGGAGGTGGCAGCATTGCCCGGGCTGCACTCACAACTCACGTGGAGATCACCCCGCAGTCGGTTCCCTCACAGCACGGCTGCTCTCCTTCACGTCCATTCCGACGGAGAACTAGCTGTAAGTTTGCTTGTAAACCAATCAGGATTTGACTGACTAGAAGGACAGTGCTCGTTTCAATAGAAAGCAGTACAAGGAGGGCTCGGAGCACCCGTGCCGATTCCTCTCCTCCCGCACCCGTGGCTGTGCTCAGCCTCCGGCTCCCCAACACCCCTTGTTCGCTGCACATCAGCATGCACGGCGTGCATCTGCACGGACATGTGCAGGGAAAACGTATCATTAATTTCTACCCTTGTCCATGTGGAGTTTGTCTGACCTCTTTTCTAAATCTATTTTTAAATCGCTTCTGGGATGCTGCATGCCAGGTACCACCGTTATTCTGCTGCACCGTCAGCTTGCCAGGACGTCGCAGCACTCGTATGAAATAGGATAGGAAACACCTGCACAGGTCACCCCGTCCACAGCCAGGCCTCGAGACAGAGCAGCTTCATGCACATCATTCATGAACCTCTTCCATAAATCACCCCCAGACAATCTTTTTCCTTCCCCATCTCTTCCCAGGCAGCCCTCAACACCATTTTTTGAGCTGTCAGTTGGAAGCACAAGCCAGCCTATTTCCTTTCCTTTGCCCTCGATACAACACTTTGCGATTCTCTCCTCCAAGACCTTGGGACTGCCCTCAGTTGCCCCAGCCTGTGACGGCCACGTACCGGCTGCTGTGTGCACACCACAGGAAGGCAGAGCGAGGCGTTGAGCCCACACAACCGCCTGTTTGCCATCAGCTCGAGCCTTTAGAAGTGATCCGCTCCTAAAAGGGGAGCTCCTTCCACTGCCTCTAGTACATACGTGGAATTTTTTGGGGCATTTCTGGGGTTCAGAGAGCACTGATCTTTTCCTGTAAATATTTTCTAAAAGACTTGTTCTCATCCTCTCAGTGCACAAAGGGGTAATTAATAGGCAGGTTACCTGAACACAGCCATGCAACCAAACGTGCAGCAGTGGCTTGAGCTGCGTGGCCAAATTAAGCCGTTTGCTATATATCCAGCAGGTGGAAGTTGTTCTGCCTTTAAAAACTGGGCCAGCAAGACGCACTTCATCCAGAAGAACAGGGAAAAAAGTCTCCTCTGAGAATGATAATGTATTCAATAGTTATTTTATCTGAGCAGAAAGAAGAAGACATCAGAAGTCCAATTTCAGAGAGCAGGAGCGCGCTGCCTCACAATCGCTCTCATCCATATTGGATGTTCAGCTCTTTTAAATTGCATCTAACACACACAAAAGCGAAGTCACTATCTATCAGCTGTGGAGGAAGGCACAACTGGTTAGTTTAACATTCATTGCCCCTACCTTTAAAATATTTACAGCGCGTATCAGGCATTATTAATGCACGGTACATCTGAGTGTAGCGTCCTGGGACTGGGCACACAGCCCCGTGCCTTGTCCAAGTGGATGTGAGTGCTGCAGGAGCCTCCACGTTGGCAGTGAGAGGCTTTTGTGAACACCTGTCCCCGCAGCACCTAAAATGAAGCGAACAGCACCAACTGCACATCTCCTCCCAGGCAGGCAGCGTTCCTGTCTCTGCCTCCCAACAAGCTCCGCTCCCTCTTGGCCACTCCGCTTTCTGCAGCATTTTTAGCACCGTGACGTGCTGTCTTATGTGCTGTAACACCCTGTACTCCCTTTGTGTATGGATCCTTCTGCTGCATGAGTTCTGCCACCTAAGCTGTGCTATAAAAAATAGGCAGGGAATTATGTACAAAGACCTCCCCCATTCCCCACCTCGCCAGGCAAGCTCCGGTTTTACAGACCACAACTTCTCAGGCACATTGAATAAAAGATCCCTGCCGTCAGGGAGCAATTTTGCCTGCTCCTCAAGAGGTTCCTGCAGGTGGGATTCACTGCAGTCAGCCTTGGAAGTACAGCTTTCAAGGCTGCGACCTCTCCAAGCCACGCTGGTCAAGCTTAACAGCACAGGAAGGTGTGCTGGTGGTGAAGAGGCCGATGAATTTCTCGGTGTGCTACAGGAACAATTCTCCGTGCCTTCCCTGGTTTCCATCGAGACCTCTGGGCCTTGATTTCTTGCAGCCTGAGCTGTATTAACAACACTTTTTTTTTTTTTTCTTTTAAAAGACTCAGATAAAAGGAGAGCCCTAGAGGTGATTTGTCATAAAGGAGCCTGGAAGTCCCTTGGCTGCGGATGTTGAAGAAGAGGCACTCACCGAACAGCTCCAGTACGAGCCTTTTGGATGGTCCTTGCTGGACAGGCAGGCTCATCTCAGAAATTGCACAAACACATCTCTAAGTGTTTGCTAGTCATCACCTGCTGGGCTTTTCTAAGGTAAACATCACCTGAGCTCTCTGTGGCCATCATCTCAGCAGCAGCCAGCAAGAACAAAAAACCCGACAAGTGCCACACATTAGGGACTGGGGCCGCTAGCAGGCTGTTGTTCCAGGTCCCTTTTTGCCTTTTTGCTCCATTTTCAATAAGAAAAGTGCTTGGCAGGAGTAAGGCACACCTAAGTCCAGACTCTGTCACTTGCTGAATGTCGCACATGGTTTCGTGCAGCTGCATCAAAACGCAGCCAAAACAAGAGGTAGGCTGTGGGAGCCAGGACGGAGCAGGAGCCCTGCTGCATCCCAAGGGTTTATTTGGGAGTTCCTCCTCTGTGCTCAGTGTTACCGCTGGGTAATCTTGGTGTTGTCCTGAGAGTTGCTATACTGGGTAGCTGTCCTCTCAGGCAGGCTGCCACATATGTTCCCAGAAGAAAATACTGCTGTAGGGATTTGTAACCAGAACCAGGTTGGGCTGGGTGAATGACAAATGGAAATACCTCTGTGTGGGATTTATGGGGGATGAAGAAAATCAGACCCTGAGGTGGAAGATCAGCCCGTAATAGGAAACAAGTCCTAGAAAGTGTTTAAAAAGCAGTCCAAGAACCAGTTTGTTGTGCAGAACAACCTAGAAGACGCAGTGAGGGCTTGACAGATGGTGTCCCTGGTGCTTCCCCCCGCAGCACCCAACCAAGCCTGGCAGAGCACCCAGATGCACGAGGCTTGGCACCTGCACGCGGGGTGAGAGAGCTGGTGAGAGAAACCTACAGGTCTGAATGGCTGAACACAGTTTTGTTTAAAATAAATACCACCTTTCTCTTCTATAAGGGCACACGGTGAGTTTTATTACATTAATTTCCTATACTGGTGCACAACCACCGTGCAGTACAAAAGCTGCATAATACGGCTGGGAAAAAAATGAAATGGGGCAGTGTGAGACATTGTCAGCACTCGCTGACACGTTGTAGGAGTTTAAATTCTGGGAGAGTCATCTTTCAGACCCGCTAATCTTCCGTATACTCCAGCCTTTGGGTAAGACCCTGAAATGAGTATTTTCTTGAAGGAGGGCCTAGGGGATCTGAGAAGTACATCCCTGTATAATAAGCCCTCCATAAAATGATCCAGATTTCAGGCACTCTGGTGCTCACACTATAAGCAGAGCTGCTCAGATTCATGCAATCCATAAAAGTCTTCGATTGTGGTTCTTTGCACTTGAGCTGAGCAGCTGTAGGCAGCTCCTTGCAGGAAACACGACAGCAGTCCAGCAGTATCACTTTTCAAGAGCGTGTTTGTATGAGAGCGGGTATTTAAGGCCTTCTGCAGAAAAATTTTACATAAATGTTTTATCGCTTCAGTGTGCCACCTTTGGAAGTTGTCCTTTTAGCCCTTAAACTGAAGAGGATTATGAAACTATACCGAACTTTGGAACCAAGCCCTTTGGGAAGACGATGTTTTAAATCCATTTTCTTTCCACGTCCACATACCAAAAGGTGCACGGGCAGGAAGAAGTAGGGTAACCTCGTGCTGCTGAGAACCAGGTTTTTGACAGACACTGCCAACAAATGTCTCTGACCGAGGACTATCTGCACCAGTCAGAAAGCCAGCATTAAAAAGAAAATAAACTTGCCACAGTTAATGGAGTCATCCGAATCCTCATTTTGCCTCTTGGGAACACAGCTACAGCAAACAAGAGAAACCAACAGAAATCTGATTTAGCTGAATAAATTTCTGCCCCTTGAGGCTATTCCCCCAATACTTCCTTTCTTCGCAATGGGAAAAGAAAGCAGAGAAACTCTCCTGCCACCATGTTTCAAGAGAATAGAGCCCTCTTTGCTCTTTGTAGTCTCGGCCCCGTTTGCTTATCGCTGGTGGTTCAGGCAGATAACTGCAATTCCCGCGGGCTCTCCAGAGAGCCCAATTATCCCACCTAGGAACAAAGAGTCCAGGAACCACTTATCACACACTCCAGAGAAGTGGGAGCAGAAACTGTCCCATCCCTGGCAGAGGGACTGGTGAGGACGTTCTGGCCACGTCTGAGGCTTGAATACCAACCATTAGGCTTCTTCTAATAAAGACATCTGGACTGCAAGACAGGATTTTGACTTCTTTGTTGCACTGGTAGCTACACGCAGCTTGTCCTCAGGGTAAAACAGCACTCGTCCGGGTGCAATATTTTATTGGCAGAAATATTCCCTCTCCAGGAAAGACCAATCCAAGCAGCCAGCGTGTGCAAGGACAGGACACAGAGAATGACACCCCCTTCCCAGGAGGATAAGCTATGTAAATATAAAAAGAAAAATATTCTGCTCTGCACAAAAGCAGATTCTTGCCCTGCATTGCCAAGGGACTGAACTTAATCACTAATCCTCCGAATCTCGTAGCAGAGGCAGAACTCCAAGCCACAGGACTGTGGTGGTGTAGAAGGAATATTTCCCCGGAGACAAGGGCTCACGGAAGAGATAAGGTACATCACAGCTCCGGAGTGACAAGATTGCTATCGCAGCCTGTGCCTCATTACTATTTCCAACCTTCAGCACAGATCTATGATGCCTTTCCAGGATTAGCCTACTTCCAAAGCTAAAGAAAGTAGCTCTTAATTTACAGCCCGTTACTTATTTAACACCAGAATTGCATTAATTATTTGAGGGAGCCTTTGGACTACCCTGTAATTTTAGCAGCACGGTGTTCTTGGAATACCACACGGGGCTAGGGAGAGTGCGCAGCGAGAAGCCGAGTGTGGTACATAAGCAGGACTCATTTTAGGTACACAAACATTTCGGTCTCACACCTACAAGCATGGAATTTGATTATATATATATTGACTGCCCCTTTTTAAATACTGTTTTGTTTTCTTGTGTTTTTATTTTTTTTAGCCTCTTCAGAGATCCCATGAATGGCCATCTTAATAAAATTACGATAATCTCCATCTATAGCTTCAAACAATGGAAACAGAGAAAAGAGAATTGAAGACAAGTCAGTCCTTGAAGTTATGGACAATGGATCCACTGCTTTGCATTCAGCTATAGGGCCTAAATGCAATAGGAGGTGTTATGACCTTTCTTGGGGTCAAAAAACAGTTCTAAAATACATTTTTTTAGGACACTAACTCAGATGAAACAGAAAAGAAAGTTCGTTAACAAAACTTCTAACTATGGTTTCTAAATAAGTATTTTTAACTAGTGTTTCTAAATATGTACTTTGATATCAGAATAATTATTTCGCTACTCGCATCATTTTTATCACCTTTGCACGTTTTTTTTTTTAGATATTTTTTGTTTCCCAAAGCAAAAGGCTCTTTTGAAACAGGGGAGACAGCCATTGTGCAACATTAAAGACTGCCGGCTTATAATTTATTACCTGTAATGGGCCTCAGCTATTCACCCTGAATTATTCTTCTAAAAGCAAAGCTGTTAAAAGTAATGGGTATCTGCTTCAGCTCAGAATAATGAGGACACTAAAAAAGTATATAAACAGCTAAAGGATGTGCCAGCTATGCAGGCAGAGAGACCTGCTGTAACTGAATGGGCAGTACACCTGCAGCTGCGATGAGTCTGACAAAGACATCGTCTATCACACTGGAGGAAAATTAATAGGTGTAAGAAGAACTGAGCATCCCACAAGCGATTACCCAGATGCTTTCAGTGACTTACTTTCCCTCAGACCCATAGCTGTTCATGCTGTCCTCGATGGACTCGTGGCTGGCTTGACGGACGGTCCGGCTGGGCATTTCGACAGCCAGCCCCGTTTCTGTGCTCCTCTGGATGGCTCCCTTGAGTCTCCGACCATCCCCATCTAGGAACAAAAGGGGAGAAGAGGCAGTCAGCTATTGCTCTCCCAGCCTTTTGCAGCAGCAGAGTCAAGGAGAAGCAGGGAAGGTCTTTCAGAAGCCCAGCCCGGCAAGCTGGCAGCCAGGCAGCACTCTGCTCTCACGCTGGGTTTTGCTTCTCAGCCCTGCTTCAGCAACAGCTCCCAGCCGGCTCTGGAGCTAACCCAGAGATCCAGCAAGCCAGGGCCCAGCAGATCCTCCAGATACACACACCACCCTACCTACTTCAGGCATTTGTACCAATTAATTATGCATCGAGCGCAGGTGCACACAGGCACGCGAGCTGGCTCTGTGCGTAATGCTACCCAATTGGTGACGACAAGCAACAATAACCACGGGCAGACTGAGGTGTGCGGCTTGAAAAAGCCTGGAAACACTCCTTAAATCCCACACTGACACCTCTGGTTGCGCAGAGCAGCTGGGAGCCACAGCCCATGGTCAGCACCGAAGGACCAGCAGGGATGGATAAGGCCAGGCAGCACCAGGAGTGCTGCGAGGGCAGGAACCGTCCCAGCAGGGGAATAGCTGGGAACAGCCAAAATATTCCCTGATGCTGGCACCTGGAATGGCACCAGCAGTGGAAAACCCCGCAGAGAGGCCTATTCCCCTTTGCACACTCCTTGGGGCAGAGCAAAGGGAATTAAGCAGGCTCTCTTCCCTCCTGGGTGCAACCCTGAGAGGCTCAGCCCTCCAAAATTAACAGTTGCTATTTCCATCCTCCTGCTCCAGCAGTCTGTTTCTCAGAACAAGCCACGTTATGTAATGAGCATGTAATGAATACCATTACTATTAATTGCTTTAGCTGGTGCGAGGAAGCTCCAAATTCCATCCCACATACAGTGCTCATCCTGCAACACATCATCTGCAAGTTTTCTGAACAAAGCTCAACGTCTAAACCCTTTTAAAGGTGCCTATCTGTTAAATCCGGATTCAGGCAACAAACCTCTAACCCCCCAAACCTCCTGATTATTTCTATTAATTTACTTCTTGTTACGTGGCAGCAGCCTCCCTGACTGGCACCGAGGAGAGCGCAGTGCTGCAAAGCCACACGGCTCTCAGAAATCTGCCAGTCTTCAAGTAGTGCCCAGCAGCAGAAATGACCCAGGCTCTCCAAATATTAAAGGAAATAAGTCTTTCCCTCCTACTTTAGAGAAATATGCGGGTAACCGTACGAACCTCTAAAATATGCAGAACACTTCTTTGCGTAGCGAGCCGCTTGCCTTAAGAATACTTCTCTTTGGGGCTTAGCGTAACAGGCACGTTTCAAATCACTAAGATACCAGAATACTTCCAATTCCACTTCTCAAATTTTAATTGCAATGAAATGCAAAGACAGAATTTCTCCCATAAGCTCAGCCAGAAGTCCCTTTTCCTCCAGTAGTCCCGAGGTTTCCGACCGGGTAACCACATCGGCCCCCGGGCTCTGCACCAGCAGCTGTCCCCACACCTGCTGCAGCACGTATCCGTGCAGTCCCCGTGGGCTAAAAGCTGGGATACACATCTTCTGAGTTAACCTTAACTACAGCTGGGATTGGTTGTGTGCCTGCAGCAACGTATGAAGCGTGTCGCATAAATCAGGAAGACCCACGAACACAAACCAGGATATTTTTTAAGTGCTTCCAAGATCCAACCTTGGGGCAAGAATATTAGTAAAGGCACCAGTAAAAACGGCCTTACCTATTTCCCCAACCACTGCAGAGTAGTTGCCTTTGCTGCACCTCTACAAGCCTTGTACGGTTTGCTTGGAGCCTCTGACGGGGTTTCTAGGTTCCTTGCAGAGAGCACCCCCAGCCCTGCTGGACAGACCTGATGGGCCATTTCACTTCTGTCTCTCACTGACCTCCCCAGGCAGCTCATCCACCAGTTCCCAGCCCTCCTCCACACATGCACTCTCAGCACCCTCATCCTGCTGCACCCTGTAGGTTCGTTATTACTACAACCCGGGTGGGCAACCAGAGCCAAAGCAACAAATTGACAAATACATCGAAAAGAAAGGAAAAACATCCAGTAGCCCAGCTATACAACATCTGCTTAAAAAAAAAAAAAACATCCTCTAGGTTATTTCTCCAATCTAGTTAGCCATGCCTGGAGACGTGCAGGCTTCCATGGCTTGATGAGATGTCCACATCTGGCAGTAAGACAGAGGCTGGGGGCTAGGCAAGGTGCTCAGTGGCTTTGCATCACCCAGAGCTGGAGGCTGGGGCACAGCCACCTGCTGCTGGGCACCGGGGACCAGGAGGGAGGGCAGGCAGATTGCCTCCTGCTCTGAGAAATGGGATGAGGAGGGAGGGCAGGCAGGCAGGCTGCCTCCTGCGCTGGGAGCCAGGTGATTCCAAATGCCCCTCACTCGCTCTTCCAGGCCTTCTGCAAGTGGGTGGTTTTCCAGTATTCCTGATCACATTCACCTCTGTGACATGTAGATGTTCTTACTTAAAAGGGAAAGGGAAAAAAGGGGATTATGGTACTGGGGAAACTCTGGGAAACCAGCCAGGAGCAGGTCAGATGCAAAGGATGAGCTGTGACCGCAGTGACGAGTCCTTCGTCCCTCCCTCCTTTCCCGGGTAGGAGCACACACGGATGGCTGCACCCAACAAACCATCCTGTTACTTGCACAGAAAGGTTTCCCCAGCCTCGTTCCCCTTCACCTTTTTGCCAGAAGCTTCCCTTGAGCAGAAGGGGAGGAACGTGACTTGCCAAAAAGGCAAGCTCCCACACCACTGCCGCCCGAGACCCGCAGGAGCACCACAGATGCCACCAGAGATGGGATTCAGGGTCCTGAGCTGCTTACACCCCTCAGTGAAACCCTACCTGGGGTTGGCACGTAACAAAAATTTACGTTCCTTCAACTCCCTCAGCTGGGAGAGAAGACCAGGGTCAGAAGTAACACACCTGGAAAGAGTCAGCACAAACCTGCATTGCCTGCCTGCACACCAAAAACATTTTGCAAGCAATTGTCTGCTCTTAGCAGCCTCTGGGCAATGCGGAGCATCGTGCCGGGGCAGGACCTCCTCCCTTATAACCCGAAGCCTTTAACTCCTTTCCAGATCAAGAATGTAAATGATCAGCCCCCTGTGAGCACTGCCTGGCAAACCCATTTGTCTCAATTGCTGGTGCTACCTGGAACAAGTTGGAGTGGTATTGACGTTTCCTGCAGCATCTCCGGATTTATTCCCTGCACCTCCTCCAATCAAGCAGTGAGCCACGAAGGTTAAGCAGCTGCTGGAGCCTGCAGCACAACACGCAGCTGAAGAACAGCGCCAGGCTCAGAATGACCTTGGGAAGAAACGTTTTGCCTCAATTCCCAAGCTGAGGGCACCCAGCACCTCGTGGATGCCGAGGACCAGAAGGGAGCAGCAGACACTTCAACAGGCTTTCTGCCTCGACAGCAGCTCGGACCAGCCAAACAACTTACATTTAGCTAAAGAATATCTTCTAAAAATGTACCCACTCCGGCCTGGAAGAGAGAGAGATGGAGAATCTGCCATTTGCCTGTGCAGTTTATTTCACTGCCTGACATTTAAAGAAGTGACTGAAGTTTGCCTGGCTCCAGCTTTTCACCATCAGGTTTTTAATGTCCTTCTGCACCACGTGCTCTGCCTTGTGCTCTCGCTGAAAGGCTCTTCTGCAGCGTAGTCGTCACCTCTCAATCTCTTCTGACAAGTTAAGCAGACTGAGCTCTTTATGTTTCTCATGCTCTGGCTTTTTTTTTTCCTCTTGCCCTTGAATCATTTTAATGACCTTCCCAGGTTTTAAACACCCTGTTGAGAACAAGCGCGTCGGAATTGAAGACTGCATTTTATTGCAAAAAATAAAGTACAAAGGTAGAATTCAGCTTGTACTCCCATCTTCAGTGCTGCTCCTTGCACCTCCTGAAACCCCAGTAAGCTCCTGGTAGAGCATCACGCCTCACTGACGCTGTGCAGCCCTGCAGGTATGGCCTTGGAGAACTTTAAAATGTAAGAAAAAAAAATTACGAAGACATCTTAGGAAACAGTCCATGCAGCTCTACCCAACTCTCCCACCCTCAGTGCTATTTACTACCCTGCTAATGTGCTCATCACCTGTGAATTTGGTAAGATTTAAATCCACGTTTGCTCCACACCAAATGAAAACACTGAATGGCACCAGACCTCAGTAACAGCCTCTTGTCTGAAGAGTTTTCCTTGCCGAGTGCTTTTTGAGAAGTGAAGCAAGTTTTTAATCTATTTGTCACTACCACGTTTTTTAGGGTCATGTTGTTCTAGGTCAAAATCCTTACATGCGCATCACATTTACCCAGATACCTGCTTCCGCTAAAACAGGCATAAAAAGGTCTGACAAGACCCACTTTCCCCAAATCCTTCTTGACTGGTATTAATTATATTCGCACCATTTTGTTCTGTAGTAATTAAACCTCATTATCATGATTCCCTTAATTCTGCCTCGGAGCAGCATCAGCCCAACAAAGCAGAAGTTTCCTCCAGAGAACCCAGCAGTGGGTGAGGAGGGGTAAGGTGACCGCACAGGTACAGAGCTCAGCACCCCTCGGAGCATCCTCTTCCTTAAATACATCATCCATCAGCTGCACTGCGAGGCATCCCTTCACGAGGATGATGTGGATACTATGGCTGAACTGACTGCCCCCAAAGCTGTATCTGCCTTAATCTTGGGGCTGGGAAGTAAATAAATAGAGTAAACCAGTGGCACCCTCCTCCTCTCCCCAGGGAAACCGCCGCCGTCTCTCCCGCTCTCCCCCATCAGCCGCCACCTGGCTCGCTGAAGCTCGTTCTGTTACTGGCAGGTCTCTGTGCTCAGAGAACAGCGAGTCTGGAAAATCTCCGCGGGTTCTGCAGCAGCTCGTTACAAGGTCGTGGTTATGCAATTAGCGCTATCGCGCAGGATGACACCGCGATGGGGGCTGCGGTGCTGATGCTGGCAGCACAGCGCGCCCCTCGCGCTGCTGTCCTCACGTCACCCTCCAGCACCT